TCCGTGTTCCAACAAAACCCTTCCTGCGGCACCGCGTCCCGCGAGACAGTGTTCTTTGTGGCGGCAGTGCGGCAGGAAGCGCGCTAACTTGGCGGGCGCGGGCGGGCACGCCGCCGTCGCCCCGCCCCGCCCCGCGTGCGCGCCATCCATTATAAGTGTCCAATTAGCAAAGCGAGCTGGATTTATCCTCGCCGTCTAGTCGGCACCCGTTCAGTTAGGGAGCCCCGGAGCGGCCCGGCCCGGCCCGGCCAGCCCCAGGTCCGAGAATCTACGGCGGCCATGGCGCGTGACTCCAACTTATCAAGTCCACCACCCGCCACTGCGATTCGCCTTGCGGCCGCCGCCAGCAGACTGATTCGGCGGCCCGTCTCTCTCGCACTTACACGGGATGCCCGTGAGTGCGAGAGAGACAGAGCGACGAAAGCGACTCTCGGAATCGGTCCGCAGGGGCGCCACCGCCGCGCCGCCGCGCCGCCGGCACGAGCAGCGGGAGGCCACCTTCTCGGTGACAGTTTTCCAGCTTGACTCGGTCGGGCCAAAAGTTTCATCAGGGTCCGGCAAATATTGACCGGGCGGTGTTCCGCCGTGGCCGAGGCCGCGAGGCGCGCGCCGCTGTTCCTGCAGCAGGAGAAGAAGAGCCGTGCGCAGCCCGAGGGCAGCCCGAGGGCAGCCAGGCACGATTCACCAAAGTCAAAAAGTTGCCAATGGATTTATTGTTTTCGTTGCCTTGTTCTCGGGGCGACGCCGCGGTGGCCGCGTTGTCTTCTTCGGGGAGCTAGCTCCCCTCCCCGACCCTCGGCCCTCGGCGCCGGTCGAACCTCTCCGCCGGTCCATCCGTCTGAGCAGAGATGAGAAAGCCCGCCATAAATTGGGAATGTATTGTAAAGACGGCGTGGCTGGCGTGGCGCACCACATTTCCCAGCCACAAAGGCCATGTCGAAGTGCACCAAGACGGAGGGCTTTGCTGCCCCGCTGCGGCTCTCCGTCGAGACCGAGACGCAGCCCGGCTTGCCGCGCGACGCTCGGCGCGACGCCGTGACCGTTATCCTGTGGAGTGCGGCCTGTGCGGCCACCGCAGCGCGCGGCGCGGTGCGGGACGTGCAGGGCTTTAAAATTTATCACCGGCAAGATCCGATCCGGGCCGCTGGATCGGCCGGCCGGCCCTTTTTGGCGCGCGGGCTCGGATTAACGACTTAACGAGCCGTTGCTGCGTCGCTCCGTCTCGCTCGCACCCACAGGACGCCCCGTGAGTGCGAGACAGACTGGAGCTCCGTTCGGAACGAGCCAGTGTGCTTACCGCCCCGCCGGCCTGGCGGCGTGAAATGTTGCCGTGTTGCCCCGCGAAGGGACGGGCGAATATTATTCGTAGAATCAGAGCCGGCCGCCGCAACATCCAACATCCGTCTCGCTGGTCCCGGAATACGACCGCCGCATTTCTCATAGCCCGCCGGGCTGCTCGCTGTGCGCGCTGTGCGTGTGTAATTAATGGCGGTATTTACAAGGCTGAGCGCGCGAAGCGACGCGCGGTCACAGCGACGCGATACGTCTCCGTTGAGGTCTGCGTCGCCGCCACGCCCCCCTTGAAAATTCCTGGAACACCGCCTCGGGGGTAGAAAAATAAACAACTTGGTTTTTGGCACTTTTGATTTGACTTTTGGCTGCAAGTAAAAAGCGCTCTTCGTTCTGCATAGTTTGGCAGCAAGTTGATGATCCAACTGTCGCTGCCCGGGGCCATCGGTGGGAAGGAGGGGGTGGGCCGCCACCGCCGCCGCGCCACAGGCTCCCCCTTGCGATCGCCGAACCGCCGCGCGCTGTGTCCCAGCCAGCTTCTAGCCCGGGAGGCGGGCAGGGCGGGGCAGGGCGGGTAGCGGTACCAAGTTGAGGTCTCGAGTGGTGTTTGGCGTTTGTCGTGAGGTTTGCGAAAGTGGCCCGGTCGTCGTGAGAGTGGCCGTCGGGGTGGCGGACGAGGCGAGGGCGTCTTGCGGCGTCTTGGCGGTGGCCGCTCTGCGCCGCTCTGCCTCGCCGCGGCTCCGGCCTTTCAATCTTTGGGTTATTCATGGCCAGTGCAGCCCCAGCCTCGCACAGTGGGTCAAAAAGGTAAAAATCGGGAAAAAAATATTTTCCCGAAATTACTCTCCCGACCGGAACTTGAGGTGGCCAGATTCGGATTCCTCAAGAAAATTTGAGTCAGAATCATGAAAAATCGCCGTGGCTTTTTCAAATGCCGCCGATATATGGGCCTCCAAAACAGCTAAATGGGCTAAAATCAAAAATTACACTCTCTTAATATGACCCACACATCGTCGGGTATTCAAAAAGCCACGGCTATTTTTCATGATTCTGACTCAAATTTTCTGGGGGAATCCGAATCTGGCCACCTCAGGCTCCGATCGGGAGAGTAATTCAGCGTACGAAAATATTTTTTTCCCGATTTTTACCGTTTTGACCCACTGTGCCTCGGTCTTCTGGTCCCGCTTCGCCTCATTGAGGACCGGGCAGGGCTGGCTGGGCCGGCAGGGCAGCTCGCTCTGCTGGCTGCTCCGGGCTCCGGGGACGCATCCAACCACTCACCCTAATCCGGGCACTAAGAAACAAAGAGTCGTAATCGTGACGAAAATTTTGGGCTTTGTCACCCAGTTTTGAGTTGAGCAATGTTCTTCGCTCAAATTTGGATGAGATATGGCATTCCGTTTAAACGAAACTGATGCACCCTCCACGGCGCCAAAATTTGGGCGATGGCGTCACCCTCGCCCAATCGTGTGTGGACTGGCCACGTTTCGAAACACATTCAGCGGGCCAAGGCTCTGGCCAAGGCCGCCAGACGTGCCCCGTTCCTGTGACTCCACTCCACTCCACTGCTAGTCCGCGGAAACACTTTCCCGAGGGTATTGCGGTGTGGCGCCACGGGCCGCGGGCTGCGGGCCCCACGGGGCCCCACGGGGCGCCGCCAATCTCTCACTTTTGTCGCCGCGAGGAACTTTGTCCAGTAAAGCGCCCCCCTGTTGCCCCCCCTCCGACATGACGCGCTTCAGAAACGCCTCGGCGTCGCCGCGCCTGCACGCGCCGAACCGTCAAACGCCGAGCAGCGCGCACCTCGTCTCGTCTGGAGGCTTACAGTGTGGAAACACCCCGAAACTCGCGGCCCCGTGAGCGCAGCGCGCAGAGAGCGCTCGTGCTCCCGGTGGTACACTGGTACACGGTACACCGGTGCACGCCAACGACGGAGTGGTAGTGCTCTCCGTTCTGTGTTCTCTATTCATGTCCAATTTGGTTTGAGTGCCGGCCCAATAAATCGTGTCCCGAATTCACGTTGCGGTGGCTCCGGCCAATCCCGCGACCGCGGCCTCGGCCACCTCGGCCGCCGCGGCCACCTCGGCCACCGCGGCCACCGCGGCCACCGCGGCCACTGATTAGCTGCTGAGGCTGCTCCAGGTGGGGCGGCGGACGGACGGGCCGTGCTGCCTTTATCCGGTGCGGTGCTCGTTGGCGGAGTTCAGCGCCACCACAGCGGCGGCATGGCGCCAGCCCGCGGCATCACCTGCACGCCGAACAATAAACGCTCACCAAGGGCCGCGGCGGGGCGGGGTGGGGCGCGGCGGGGCGGGGCGGCCCGCATTCTCACCCGCGAGGCAAAGGAAAACGTGGCCGGGGGGTGGCGTGGCGCCGACGAGGGTCTCGCAGTGTGGTGGAATCGGAAGGCAAAGCCAGGCGGCAATAAGCGGGGAACTTGACGGCGACGCGAGAACGACAGCGAGCGGGCGCACACACACACACACGCACACGCGCGCTAGGGCAAACACAACGCCAAGCACATGCAGTTCCTCGCAGAAGGGCGCGGCGCGGCGTGGCGTGGCGTGGCGCGGGGCCAGGGGTGGGTTGTAAATCAAGTCCACATCCAGTCCACTCCAGGCCAGAAGCACGCCGCCCGCCGCCCTCACCGCGCGGCGCGCGTAGCATGACCTTGGTGCCGGCACTAAAGAAAAATACTCTCCGGCTGATACTTTATATGCTCGGCGCTTTTTTTAGCTTCTCCCTCCGCCCGCGCACGGTCATGATAATTAATTATCCAGCCGCGATTTTTATTTCTGTTTTCATTCCCTCTCCTTTGCATTCCTTTGCATGTGCAGCGCGGTCCTCGCGTCACTCGCACCGCGCCGCGCACATCATAACTCACCGCAGCGAAGATTAATGGACGAAAGTTGCACTCGTTTAGAATTATCATGTTTAAATGGCGTGGGGACTTAATGGAAGAACAGCAAAAGGACTGGAGGTTTCCGTAGCTTTATTTGCCTCCCCTCGGTGCCCACGGTGCCCGCCCTCCCCCGGCCCCCCGGCCCGCGCCGAGGCCGTCCTTACTTCCAGGATGTACTGCTCCGTGGGGTACTTTACCGCCGTATATAGCGGGCGCAGGACTCACGAGGGGTCAACTCTTTCAGCCGCCGCCCCGCCCCGCCCCTCAAGACACGCCAAACATGAACCTCCTGTGCCTCCACAGGGAAAGCCCTTTGCATAAAATAAACAGGTCGGCGGCGCCTCGATGAATCTCATCGGGGAAAGGGAGAAGGGCCTCTGCCGTGCTCGCGGTAAATTCCCATTCAGGGCATGCGGGCGATGCGGGCGTCCCGACCGCCGCCGCGCCGCCACCCCGTCACGCCGATCTGGACCCCGCCGATCCCACCGGCTGATACAGCGGCGGCGGTGCGGTGCGGAGGGCGGCGGGGGCGTCATGGGTATACACACATATCCTGACGAGGGGGGGGAGGCCACAGACGGCGGCAACCTGACCAGCCCGCGATGCGGCGGTGCGACAGCCACCCCCACTCGCTGAGGGGTGCGGCGGCGCGTCAAAGCACCTATCGGGGTTGACAACAGGCAGCCGGGGCGGCGACCCGTCCTGCCCGGACCTGGCTCCGACCAAAGTCACCCCACAGGTCACTGAGGTCACTGCTTCTTCTCCTCGCTGGAGGTAACGACCGCGCTGATTGTGTGCCCGTGCAGGCGGACGCACGCCCTGCGCACGCCGCGATGGACGCCGTGGACGCCGTGGAGGCCGTGGTGGAGGTGGTGGCCGAGGTGGTGTCGCAGCAGCCCAACTGCAGCGCGGTGCCCTCGTTCACCGCGGACTGGCCTGACGGGCCCCTCGCCGCCGAGGAGCGCTTCCTCCGGGGCACCCGGTTCCTCATCCAGGTACGTGTAGACAGTGTAGTGTCAGAGCGGAGTACATCGTTTGTACGACCCCTTTTTGTCCGACCTGCCGAAATTCGTCCAACCCCCTTCCCGCTGTTATATTTTTCTACGACCTCTTTTTGTCTGACCTTACCACCGCCTCAGCCCCCAGCCCCCACACTCGACAACACATGGTACCCACGACGGAGTCATATAAAATTTGGTTTAAAATAAAACATAAAAAATTTGAACCCTACGACCCTCTCTCCCCGCAATGGGGTTCGAGCCGCCTGCTTAACTTCGGTGTTCGGATGGGAACCGGTGTATCCAGGCTTTAAACTGCTACCGCATAGTTCAGCTTCTGTAGGACCGCTATAGCCCTCCACACATGAAGGACCGCCTTATGAGGGCAGCCGGCGATCGTAGGGTGACAGAGATAGAGAGATAGAGAGAGAGAGAAAGAAAGAGATTGTGTTTGTCACGGGCCTGGTGCTCCCGTAGTCCCCCACATGGGCATCCTTCAGGATCATAGGGCCAGATTGCCACGTTTCCAAAACAGTACAGGCCCCCTTCCCACTCGGCGAGCCACTGCCTGGTACAACGGAGTCATACGCCACCCGTAACCTTCCGGACAATGGCTGACCGCCGAGAGGTTGTATATATGCCTCAAGGAGTGAGCGGAGTCATCACCGCGAGGGAAGCGCCCGTCGACGCAAAATTGCGGAGTCGGAATGTGATCCGAAAATTGTGGACCTAGTGGGGGGTGTTGAACCCCAGTTCATCGAGTTGGGAGACCAACACCCCTACGCTCTCAGCCACCGCGGCTCATGGAGACCAGCCGGTAAGGCAGTGTGTAAGAAGCCAGGCGTAGGTCTCGACGGTAGCAGTTTCACTTAAGGTTAGGTTAGGTTCGTAGTTGGTTCAGTTCTATGTAGCTTACCTGTCTGGCGAGACGGACCTCCATCTCCCTCTCTTCTTTCCTGAAAACATGTCGGGCAAACCGTAGGTCGGAGAAAAAAATGGCGATGCAAGAGAGGTAAGGTCGGACAAAAAGAAGTGGAGCCCAACGTTTCTGAATTGTTTTTTTCTGTCAGCGCGTGCTGGTGCCCCTGGTGGTGGTGGTGGGCTTGGTGGGCAACTTCGCCACCATCGTGGTGCTGACGCGGCGCCGCATGCGCTCCTCCACCAACGTGTACCTGACGGCGCTGGCCGTGTCGGACCTGCTGTACCTGCTGGCCGTGTTCCTGCTGTCGCTGCAGCACTACCCGGGACCCGGCTCCATGGAGGCCACCTTCTTCTTCTACTGGCAGGTCTGGCCCTTCATCCTGTGGCTGGCCGACTCCATGAGTAAGCATCTCATTATTCGCACTCATTTTCTTTGGCCATATTCATGCGCCAAGTTGCTCACTTCCTCTTTCCCGCAGCCGCCACGTCTATCTGGCTGACGGTGGCCTTCACGGTGGAGCGGTACATCGCCGTGTGCCACCCCATGCGGGGCCGGCTGCTGTGCACGGAGCAGCGGGCGAGGCGCGCCGTGGCCGCGGTCTGGGTCTTCTGCGTGGCGGCCACGTCCAGCGTGCCCTGGGAGTACAGCGTGGTGCTGCACCAGGACGCCAACGGCATGCAGTGCATCATCCTGGACACGAGGTCAGGGCAGGACCAGGTTCCACTCCGAGCGCTCCGAGCCCTCCGAGCGACCCTAATGCCCAATCGGCTAAGTGCTGCCCGGCCAGGTCGGGCCGGCCAGGTCCCCGCAGTTTTCACTTTCGGCCTATTCTGTTTTGCCGGGTCCGGCCTCGGCCAATGGGTACCCTGCCAAGGACAAACCACCCCTGACGCTTTAAAAGCTTGGGCGTCCACCTTGCGCCCCACCGGCCGGACCCCGCTGGACTCGCCCTACGCGACCCACGCTGGTGCTGGCTCGCCGGCCCCGCCCTGGGGCCTACATTGAGAGGAAGGACATCCCCTTTCCAGCCAAATGCTGTGTGGCCAAAACTTTACGAAAAAGATCAGGACTAGCGCTAAGTTTTTTTAACTGAGAAGTTTACCACCGGCGCCAATAAAAATTGTTGGTGCCTCTTGATTAGGTGATAACAAAATATTTAACAATCTGCTTGACAAAAATTAGCTGAGCTTGGATTTATTTTTCTGTGCGCTAAGCCGGATATTAACGGCTGGCCCTGCCATGCACCGCGGACTGCCTTCCTTTGACGACGCCGGCGTTACTGCACTGTTTACGGCCCATTCTTTATGGTTGAGCGGGTTCAAACCCCGGCGCGTCTCAACATTATTTCCTTTGTTTCACTGCAGCCGGCTGGGGGACAACGACCTGTACAAGACGCTGTACTACTGGTCCAGCGTCACCATCTTCACGCTGCTGCCGCTGCTGCTGCTGGCCGTGTTCAACTGCTTCCTCATCAACGCCGTTCGGCAGAGCCGGCGTGCGCGCCGCTCCATGACGCAGGTTCGTCAATCGTCCGCTGTCCATGTGTCCATGCATCCGTCACGGCCTCGCCTCGGCCTCGCCGGCCAGCGGTCGTGGGGGCTTTGCATGTGACATACGCTGTTCTGTGAGTGGACCTTCCATTTGTCACAAGCTCCCCCGGCAGCCTGAAAAATGGAGCATCTGCGGCCCTGCTGGGAGCGGCGCGGCGCGGCGCGGCGTGGTCCAGCTTGAGCGCCCGCAAACGGCCGGGTAGGCCGACCCGCCGCGCACGCGTGCACGGGGCCTGGAGGGCCGCCGGGCGCTCTTGCCGCCCCACACTCACGGTGTAGAGGGTGTTTCTAGCTAGCCATTCCTGGCTGCTCTGATTGACGCGAGCGTTGCTGTTGCAGAACGAGCCGCAGTCCGTGTCGCAGCACCAGCGCCAGGAGAACCGCATCACCATCACGCTCATCGCCGTCGTGATCCTGTTCCTGGTGTGCCAGACGCCCTCCGCCGCTACGCTGGTGTACTCCATCTTCACGCGTGTCTCCACGGTGCAGCGCGCCCTCGGCAACATCTTCAACTTCCTGGTGGCCGTCAACGCGGCTTCCAACTTCCTGCTCTACTGCGCGCTGTCCGACAAGTATCGGAGGACATTTCTAGTCACTTTCGTCCCTTGGTACGTACGCAAAGGCGGCCGGTACGTGTAGCCTACGGTGTAGGCGCGCCGACCTGGCCAACCATCGGCCTGCCGCGCCGCCGCGGACACTTCCCTTCTCACTGTGTGCCTCGCTGCAGGTGCTACAAGGGGCAGGCCTCGGTTCTCCAGCGGGCGGGTTCCATGTACTCGACGCACTCCGACTTCACCCGGACGACGCGCACCCGCGTGGGCAGCGTGTACCTGCAGGTGCCCAACGCGCGCAACGGCGGCGGCGGTAACCGGCTGCAGAGGACGCCATCGGGCTACTCGTCGCAGACCCTGGGCCAGGGCCTGGGCCCCCACAAGGACCGCCCCTCGCCCAGCCGCCTGGCGCCGCCCGCCAGCCCCATGGGCCCCATGGGGATGGGCCCCCTGCACGCGGCCAACGGCAACGGCTTCGACGGCCACGACTGAGGCCGCGGGCCGCGGGCACCTGGAGCACCTCGAGTAGGCCAGCAGGGCGCTAAGACTGAATGAGGCTGTGGACTCGTGGCCCCGACAGGACTTGGAGTGCAAGTTAGTCTCGCTTTCGTTTTCAAGCCAGTGTTATCCTTCTCTTCGTATTGTAAGGAGAAATTCCAATATTTTTCTATGTGCGCCGCGCTGATGGCGGCAGACTGCACGGCCTCGAGAGGAATGGTTCGGCTGTGCTGTCTGCGAGTCGCGGTCGCCCCTCTATTTAGCCTGTAACGGCTGGTGTGGCACGTTTGTCTAGTCCAATTCCTGCTGGAAACCCAGTGGACCATTTTCTGAGGCCTAAGAAATATATCCCAGATGGGGCTCGGATGAGAGTCTTTATGTTTGAATGTACTCTGCTCTTTAGGAATAACAAACTAAATGTTTCGACGAGAGTGGAGAGCTGCGGTGGTTTTGCATCTAGTCATGTTTTAAGTTGATAGAATATTTTCTCTCTCATTTTCCATTGTAAATATTTCATCGTCAAATCGTGTAGGGCTGATGTGAAACAACAGCCGCTTTCTCATGTTTGTGTCATTATCTTTTAGATTAAGTGAATTTATTGCTGAGGCCACATTCTCCTTCGTATTGTGCTTTGGCATTGTGCTAATGTGTAAATGCATTTGCATTTCTAGTCGTCTAATTTAGTGTGCAGACCATTCTCAATCATGTTGCTCGTGCTGGCTGGACCACCACTTTGCTATAATACTGTCCTGTGCACATATCAATGCATTTGTATGTATACTGGCAAGCTATAATAAAGATTCTGAAAATGTTTCTGTAGCTTGTCTACAAAGCAACGATGTCGTATCTCTGTTCATTCAACCACTCATACTTTGTAATGTAACTCGATTAACGTGGGGGAAGAAAAGAGACTAGAATTGAATGACTCAATGCATAATTTATTTTGAAAGTGTTGGCAAATTATTAGAGCGGTGAACCTGACAGAAGGAATTATTTACTATGTATCACAAAGTGCTTAGGCAGTGTTGTTGGGCTCGTTGACCTGCTGGAAAGACTTCTGGTAGATGAAGACGTCCTTGAAGTACATGTTGGGGGTGTAGAACTGGTTGAAGTCGACGATCTCGCGGTCGAAGGGGAAGCCCAGGGGGCGGTTGTCGTTGTAGTTGAAGACGCCGGAGCAAGAGTACTGCTGGTTCTGCTGGTACTGCTGGCTAGGCTGCTGGTTCTGCTGGGTGTAGGGGCTCACGACGGCGTAGATAGCGAAGGGAGTGCCCTCCTTGCTGCCCATGGGGAGCACCAGACGGTCGGGGAAGCCGCACTGCTGGTCGTTGTCGTTGATGTAGAAGGAGCCCTGGCCCTGGAGAGCGGCCTCCACCTGCTGGTAGATCTGGTCGAAGGACGGGTAGTCGCCCACGGTGGAGGTGAACTGCTTGGAGGAGCGGTTGATGACATTCTCGCCGGGGACGACTGTGGCGCAACGGAAAGGGTGGTCAGATTGGAGCAAAGAGGGTGCAAAACAGGAAACACGTATTTCCGCGATGTACTTACGGTTGACGGGGAAGCGGTCCCACTCGACGAAGTACTCCTTGAGCTTGTCGAAGTTGACGTACTGGAAGGCGTCTCTGACGTTCTGCTGCTGGGGGTAGCCCTGGTAGTAGCCCTCGTTGCCGCCGGCGTAGAAGCCGTACAGGGAGCTGTAGTACGCGTCGTAGGAGGGACCGAAAAAGACGCGGACCAGAGCGCTCACGTTCTTGTCGCTGTTCACGTAGAGCTGTAACAAATCATCACAACGCCGTTAGGAAAAGGTTTTGAAAAGTTAATTGTTTTACGGCGTGGACGAACTGTGCAGTACCTTGTAGTTGAAAGGCTCGTGGTTAAGGCGCAGGCTGCGGGCGACGTAGTTGAGGGACTTGGCCTCCTCGGCGTTGTTCACGTAGAAAGCGTTGCTCACGTCAACGTTGAAGTAGTCGAAGTAGGTGTACAGTTTCTCGACCTCGATGTTCTTGACGGAGACGCCGGAGAAGGCGAGCTCCTCGAACTTGTAAGAGGGCTGGTTGTACGCGTACTGGCGGAAGAATCGGTTGATGTACTTGTAGAAGTAGTAGAAGGCGGGGTCACGCAGGGCGGTCTCGTAGTTGGCCAGCACGCCGGGGACGACCTGCAGCAAGAAAGCGGTGGTGTATCCGGTGGCACCGAGTGCACCGTGGCGCGCGTTTTTTGCGGGAAACTGCACTCACGCCGTGGTTGTAGCCGGGGTCCACGATCAGGGCGAACAGGCTGCGGAGCATGGACTGGTAGGAGCCGTAGTAGCGGGAGTTGACGGAGTCGCCGTTGGCCTCCACGATGTTACCCAGCAGGTTGATACCCTTGATGTAGTTGACGATGGGGATGCGGGAACCCTCCTTCTGCTCGAAAGAAAGGACCGTGTCAGTTTTACGCGCTTTCCGATGGCTGCGTCAGTTGGCAGCAGTGGACACTCACGCTGTAGACGTAGCCGGAGTCGATGGCCTCCTGGATGCGGTACTCGATGTACTGGATGTCCTGGATGGTGTACGAGCGGATGCTCTGCAGAGGGTAGTTGTCGGGGCGAGGGGGGAAGGGCTTGCCGGTGTGGTACTGGATGTTGGGGTAGTAGCCGTTCTACGGACACAGAAAATGGTCAAGTCAAACACGAGTTCAAAAGGAAAGAACAGAAAAGTGACCGATAATAATTGAGCAGCCACTCACGGGGATGGGCTTGTCCCAGTCGAAGTACTCCAGCTCGGGCAGGTAGTTGGCAATGCGGTTCAGGTTGTAGAAGTTCAGGATCTGCTGGTAGTAGTAGTAGAAGTACTCGCCGCGCGCCTGGAAGTTGTAGCCGTACTTCTCAGCGCTCAGCCAGAAGGGGTTGTACAGGTGGGAGTAGGCGTTGTACGCGTTCAGGCCGATGTCCTCGGTGAAGTAGGACAGGAGCTGCTCCTGGTTTCCGTAGTAGTTTCCGTAGTAAGAGCCGTAGTTGTAGCCGCTGAAGTTGGTGTACACGGAGTACGCGTTCTTGCCTAGAGAAAGTAGCAAAAACTTAGAACAATATAGCAAGAAAGTCAAAACTAGATGAGGTGTTTTAGGAACGCGAGGCTTACCCTGCTGCTTGGCCTGGGAGAACTGCTGGAGGTCGTTGCCATAGAAGTAGAAGTAGGGGTAGATCTCGTACAGGGGAGGCAGGACGATGCCGTAGGTGTCGTCGCGGTGGATCACGGCCACGTAGAAGGCGTAGGCGAACTGGCCCTCGTTGTAGTTGTCGCGAGCCCAGGCGGCGACCTGCGCAAACAAGCGGGATCAAGACGTCGTCTGAAGAAATAAACAGCGGTCTAGTTATCAAACTGTGGCACTCACGGAGATGAAGCTGTCGAAGTCCTTGGCGAAGTAGAACAGGTCGAACAGGGCGATGGCCTGGTTCAGGTAGTCATCGTTATACAAGTTGAAGATCTCGCCTTGAGGCAGGACTCCCTGCTTGTAGACGGCGAGGAAGTTCTGGTAGGCCTGGACGTTCTTGAAGTAGCCGGCGCTGTTGTACACGTCGAATTTGCGGCCCACTTCAGCCAGCTCGGGGTAAAGGTTGGGCTGGGTGATGTGCACGAGGAGCTGGAGCACGGCTTTCTGGCGGATCAGGAAATCCTTGTCGGCTGGAACAAGATCACTCCAACAAATCAGTCTCGGCAACTTTTGACCAAGGCGTTCGTTAGTCGAGTCGATACTTACCGACGCGGGGCTGTCCGTTCTGCTGGCCGGGATATTGCTGGCCCGGCTGGCCCTGCTGGCTGGAGTATTGCTGGTACTGCTGGCCGGGGTATTGCTGACCCTGCTGACCCTGCTGGCTGGAGTATTGCTGATACTGCTGGCCGGGGTATTGCTGACCCTGCTGACCGGGGTACTGCTGACCCTGCTGGCCGGGGTACTGCTGGCCCTGCTGACCGGGGTACTGCTGGTCCTGGTACTGCTGTCCCTGCTGGCCGGCGACGTAGCTCTGGTACTGGTTCTGGTAGTTCTGGTACTGCTTGGACTGGTAGCCGCGCTGGCTGCTGGGGGCGTAGAAGGCGCCGTGCCACGACTGGTCGGACTGCTGGCCGCGCTGGAAGCGGCTGCTGCGCTGGTCCTGCTGCTGCCAGCGGTTGCCGTACTGGCCGGCGGTGCAGGCGGCCACCAGGAGGGCGACGAGCCCCAGGGAGAGAGTGAGCTTCATCTCGGACTGCTTGGCGTGGACGAGGAGACCAGACCAACTGCGACCAGCCCAAGTGCCGGAGCGCCTCTGTGCTGTGGCTTGGCGCCCCGGTCCTTTTTAAGGCCCTTATCACCGCCCCGGGGTCGACCCCGCGCAACCCCGCGCAACCCCGCGCCCCGCCAAATCACACGAGGACCTGAAAATTTGCAGCCGGCCAGCCGGCCCGGGCGGTAGATAAGGCCGGTCGTTTTGATTCGGCGGGTAGAGTCTTTCTCTTGATTTCCGTTTCGTTTTTGTTTTGGGGCGCGGAACGCCGCCACGCCCTTTGCACTGCGAGGCCTCCGGGTTCGCTAAGTGGGTGACGGCCTGCCTGCCGTGCCGGCCTGGCAGGGCCTGGCAGGGTCATTGGCCGCCCATCCGCGAATAGATGCCATTCGCCTGAGATCTTATCCTGCCTCAGAACATTCGGCGCGCTTTGCGACATAGTAACACGGTAACATGTGTCGCCGCAGTGTCCTGCGTGAGGTGGACCAGGTGGACATCGTCACTGGAAAAGCTGCCTGCTGCTGGTCTTCCCCGCGGCCGCCGCGCTGACGTCAGAGCCCCGCCGCGGGACTGGGAATCGGACCGCCCCCCCCCCCCTCTCTCGCTCTCCGTCGGTCCATTAATGGCACTCTGGGCGTATAATTAGGCGCCACACCTCGCTCGCGCCAGTCTCAATTCCAACTATTTTGGTAATTATTTTCGATGGACCACTTTGTGCCCGGAAATTTGTTTTCCTTGCGGATTTTCGGCTTTAAATCACGGCCCGAAAGATGATCAAGGAAAGGCGTCGGCTTGAATGGCGACGTTAGCAACCCGTCTCGCCGGTCTAGTCTCGATCCAGTCGGCAAACTCGGCGGGCTGTCCCGGCGTTCAATTGATTGTCATCGTGGAGGTGCAATTATCCAATTAGTGCCGAGCTCAGTTGAAATGCCTTCCACAATCGATACGCCTCACGTGGTGTCTACGAATTCGACGGCGAACACAGACGAGCGGAAAGACTGTCAGATACCTGGAGGATTTGAAATTACAGTGGTAAGGATGATGTAGGACTGTGTTCATTTTGGTAAAATGCGCATGCTGGTTTTATGCTTCTTCAGATAGACAGACATATAGACGAACAGACGGCGGCGCGCATTCCCACTCGCAGATGACGGCGTCGTGTTGGACTGCAGGGATGCTGGATGACGTCATGCTGGAGCCGCGCCGGCTGGAGTCTTCCTTTTTTCCAGCTCGCATCAGACGGGGCAGGACAGGGCACGCCGCCGGGTTGCCGGCGCGAGCAGGAGGGGGAGGGGGGCAGGGACTCTGCAGGTTCTAATGCCCCTGGAGTGGTACCAGACAAGGAGATGAGTCCAGTCGTTGTCCGGTAGTCAGTTCGCGAACAGCTTCGGTGCACGCCAGGCACCGCAGGGTTCGAGGTTCGTGCCCCCAGGCCCCAGGACGCCGGTCACCATGGCGACGGTGCGAGTCGGAGGCTGCTTGGCGGTCATGCTGCTGGCCGTGAGCTTGGCCCAGGGCCAGGGCCGCCAGGGCCAGGTACGCCAGGGCCAGATCCGCCCGGGACAATTCCGGCAGAACCAGGCGCAGGCCCCGGAACAGCAACCGGAGGGTAAGAGTTCGCCGGTAGGCCCTCTGTGTCTTTGTTCTAGCAGCGCGGCAGTCCGTCGAAGGCGAGAGGCGGCTGCCAGACAGCGCGGCCACTGACCTGCCACAAGCACGAACAAAGCAAAGTGCAGTGTTCTCTTCGTGCGGAACTTGGCTGTACTGTACTTGATCGTTTGTAAGGGAAATCCGAAAATCACCAACTAAGCACTAGGCGTCATATTCATCGACAAAAAGTAAACACTGCGGTGTGACGTTTGTTCTGGTTTCTTCGTCCTGAGAAAAGCAAAACCGCGTTCGACTCGGCGGCCGTTACAAATACATACGAAATTGGCCGATTGGCGGCCTTGGCGAGCATCGACGTGCTGGTCGCTAAGTCGGAACAAAATAGTTGGCGCTAATGCGGCCAGTGACTGGCCGGCTGCCGGGAATGGCAAAATGGCATTATGCTCAAGGTCAATGAGTGTAAACAACACGCCGCCGGCCGGCGCCCCGCTCCAGCCGCTCCAGGCGGCCAGCCAGACGCCTGGCTTCGATAATTCCGCGCGGCGCAAGCGGCGCAAAGGAAAGGGCAGCGACCGAAACCGCAGGAAGCGTCTGCCGTCGGCGGGATTGCCGATCCGCTCGCAGGACATGAAGGGCCCCGTGGAAGACGCGTGGTCTTTCGAAGCCCCGATCGGAATGTTGGCGCGGCTTGGTGTTTTAAGACGTGTCTCCGGTGCCTCACTCCACGGCACCAAAACACCAACACCGCCTTCTTTTCCAGGCCGGTCGCTGGTGGACTGGTACTTCTTTGACGTTAGCAACCTCGACGTGCCCGAGGGACGGTTGGTATCCGTGCCGCCCGTCGCGCACCACCGCAGCTTCTCGCATGGCGCGAAGACGGCCTCCATCGACAGATCAGGTGAACTATGCGCCGGGCCTGCACGCTCCGCCGCGATGACCGCTGTGTTCCAGTCCGACTGGAGTGGGGCTCGTGCTAACGAGCGTCTTGCCGTTCTCTGCAGACAGGCTGGGCCGGTGCTTCCACCGCGGCACCTCCAGCGAGGGCGTGTGCGCCAACATGGTGGACTGCGCGTACGCGGCCCGCCAGATGCAGCACTGGGGGCACGCGGAGATGTGCGCGGACGGCGCGCTGGTGTGCTGCCCCGGCCTGGCGGCGGACGCCCAGTACACGCAGCACGCCCAGGACGACTTCCCGTCGCCGTCCTGGGACCCCTACACGTTCCAGTACTTCCCGGCGCCTTCCTGCGGCCACCCACACCACCAGCACGACCACCATGGTGGCCAGCAGCAACAGAACTTCCACCCGGCGCCGCCCATGCCCCAGGTACCTGTAAGCGCTCCGCCGCAGGACTTCCAGTACTTCGACAACCTGTATCAGCAAGCTGCGCCGCAGCCCACGCCCGCCCCCGCCCTGCCGCCCGTGGTCCACGCCCCCCACGTCCAGCCCATGGCTCAGCCCCCCATGAAGCCCATGGCTCGACCCCCCGCGAAGCCCATGGCTCAGCCCCCCACGAAGCCCATGTCTCGACCCCCCATGAAGCCGATGGCTCAGCCCCCCATGAAGGCCCCCACGCCGGAGCCGCTAGTGCCGCTCATCGACGCTGCCACCCCGGCCGGCAAGCAGCCGGGCGACGTCGCCAGAAAGAGTGAGTAGTGTGGACGCCGAGGGCGTGGAGTGGAGCAGCATGTCCAGGCGTTCGCGGTGTTCACGGCCTGCTTGTCCTCCAGAGTGCGTCGAGTACGAGAAGTACGCCCCCACGGTGCGCTTCGGCCCGGACAAGGACTGCATCCCCAACCACACCTACCCCATCGGCGGCAACCCCGCGCTGCCCAGGGAGTTCCCCCACTTCGTAAGTATCGAGGCTCGGCGGCTTGCCTAGTTCCGTGTCGCCCTGGCGCTGACGGGCTGTTTCTCGTCCTCAGGCGCAACTGGGCTCCGGGGACCGTGGTGATATCCAGTGGTTCTGCGGCGGCGCCCTCATCGCCCCCAGCTGGATCGTGACCGCGGCGCACTGCCTGTACAGCGGCAGCAGGTATGTGGAACGCCGCCGAAGACGCGGGTTCAACTCCCACCGCAATTCCTTTTTCAACCCTTTTTTTTGTGGCCAGGAAGGTCCAGTGGGTGCGCCTGGGTGACCTTGAGCCGGAGTCCGACGAGGACGACTCGAACCCGCAGATCATCGCGGTGGCGCAAGCGGTGCGGCACCCCGACTACAAGGTCCCCGAGGTGTACAACGACATTGCCCTGCTGCGCCTGGCGCGCGAGCCCGACATGAGCACGCCGCACGTGCGGCCCGCCTGCCTGCAGGTCGACACCAAGCTCAAGAAGGACAAGCTCAACCTCATCGGCTTCGGCCTCACGGAAGAGAGTGAGTGTGGCTGGTAAATGTGTTGATGCTCGATTGAACCCCATCTTACTGTTTTGTTCGCCTTGCAGACGGCGACCCCGCCAAGGCCCTCATGGAGGTGGCGCTGTGGCGCACGCCCGGCGACAAGTGCAAGGACTTCTTCGAGGGCCCCATCAACCTGCGCCAGCTTCCGGACGGCCTGCGCGACGAGAGCCAGCTGTGCGCCGGCCTGGACCAGGTCGGCAAGGACGCGTGCCAGGTGAGAGAGAGCTCGTCCAGCGCCGCCAGTCGGTGTCTTTGCGGTGTATGTCGTTTGTCCGACCTTATTTTGTCCGACCTGTCCAAATTTCATTTGCCCGTAAATCGGCTGAAAATTTTGTCCGACCTCCGTTTTATCCGACCCACTTACACCGCCATGCGGTCAGGCTGCAGCTAGAGAGCAATTTGGCGGCGCTCCATTGATCTAAACACCCGCAGCTCACTCTCTATGTCAATCAAGACTGGATGCAGGACAATCCAAAGACATTTGAACACAAAATGTATTCAGAGTAACAGAAGTAAAATGAACACTACTATAAAGAAAATTTCAGCGAAAGAGGGCACCCCGGCGAACCGGCCCTCTTCCCCGCTGGCTTGGTGAGCCAGTGGTTCCCCCATCTCATCACAGGAGCAACCTCAGAGTTAAACCGCAGTGGCCCCGTCATTGGTCACGTCATCTGTGATGTGGAGGAGTCCTCTCATAGTAGGCCAGGCTGCCACCTTTCCCAGTAGTCGGGTTTCGATCCCCGACCCCCTTCCCACTCAGGGGCCATGCTACTGGTACTCAGGAGTCTGCGTCACCCTGCCCAGCAGCGGAACCACTGGGCTATGAGAGGCACACTGAACGCCGGCCGATTTTGTATACTTGAACCGCCTTCTTGCGATGCAAGCTTGGTCAAAATATTCGCTACTGTACTAGGTATCGAACCCCGGACCCCGCAGTTGGGAACCGACGCCTCTGCGCTCTCGGCCACCAAGGCCCATGTGTGATGCTGTGCGATGGGGAGCCTTTGAAGCCGCTGGTCCGAACCGTATAGCCAGACAAAAAGAGCGGGACGCTGGTATTCGATCGCTCGATCCGCGTGTAGGATTGAAACATCTCTACACGTTCGACCACCGCGGCTCTCTGGGGGAGCTGAGTGGCGCGACGGATCCAAACCGGATCGGAAAGTCACTCCCAAAATGTAAAGAATTGCCGGGAGTCGAACCCTAGCCCCTGCGGGTGCGGGTCGACGCCTCTGCGCGCTCAGCCGCCAGTGATTCGAGAAAGTGAGTCACATAGGGTCCCACTGCTGGCTCCACACTGTGGCATCCCGAGGAAATCATGATCACGCGCGGGGGCTAGGGTTCGACTACCAGCAATTCTTAACATTATAGGAGTGGCTTTTCCGATGCGGTTTGGACCCATTGCGCCACTCGGCTCCCCCTGTGAGCCGCGGTGGCCGAACGTGCAGAGATGTTTCAATCCTACACGCGGATCGAGCGATCGAATACCAGCATTCCACTCTTTTTGTCTGACTATACGGTTCGGACCAGCGGCTTCAAAGGCTCCCCTTCGCACAACGTCACCCATGGGCCGTGGTGGCCGAGGGCGCAGAGGCGTCAGTTCCTGCGCGGTCGGGGGTTCGATACCCAGTACAGTAGCGAATATTTTGACAAAGCTTGCATCGCTAGCTAGGGTTCGACTCCCGGCAATTCTTTACATTTTGGGAGTGACTTTCCGATCCGGTTTGGATCCGTCGCGCCACTCGGCTCCCCCGGTGAGCCGCGGTGGCCGAACGTGTAGAGATGTTTCAATCCTACACGCGGATCGAGCGATCGAATACCAGCGTCCCGCTCGTTTTGTCTGATTATACGGTTCGGACCAGCGGCTTCAAAGGCTCCCCTTCGCAAAGTGTCACCCATGGGCCTCGGTGGCCGAGAGCGCAGAGGCGTCGGTTCCCAACTGCGGGGTCCGGGGTTCGATACCTAGTACGATATCGAATATTTTGACCAAGCTTGCATCGCAAGAAGGCGGTTCAAGTATACAAAATCGGCCGGCGTTCAGTGTGCCTCTCATAGCCCAGTGGTTCCGCTGCTGGGCAGGGTGACGCAGACTCCTGAGTACCAGTAGCATGGCCCCTGAGTGGGAAGGGGGCCGGGAACGAAACCCGACTACTGGGAAAGGTGGCAGCCTGGCCTACTATGAGAGGACTCCTCCACATCACAGATGACGTGACCAATGACGGGGCCACTGCGGTTTAACTCTGAGGTTGCTCCTGTGATGAGATGGGGGAACCACTGGCTCACCAAGCCAGCGGGGAAGAGGGCCGGTTCGCCGGGGTGCCCTCTTTCGCTGAAATTTTCTTTATAGTAGTGTTCATTTTACTTCTGTTACTCTGAATACATTTTGTGTACAAATGTCTTTGGATTGTCCTGCATCCAGTCTTGATTGACATAGAGAGTGAGCCGCGGGTGTTTAGATCAATTGAGCGCCGCCAAATTGCTCTCTAGCTGCAGCCTGACCGCATGGCGGTGTAAGTGGGTCGGACAAAACGGAGGTCGGACAAAATTTTCAGCCGATTCACGGGCAAGTGAAATTTGGACAGGTCGGACAAAATAAGGTCGGACAAACGATGAGCACCGTGTCCAGTGCGCCGCCATGGCGCCGCCAGGACTGCCTGGCTGAGGTGTCTGCTTGCGTGCTTGCAGGGTGACTCCGGCGGCCCGCTCAACACGCCCTACAGCCCCACGTGCATGCACGCCATCCCGGGCATCACGTCGTTCGGCCAGGGCTGCGGCCGCGGCGCGCCGGGCGTGTACACCAGGGTGTCGCACTACGTGCCCTGGATAGAGCGCATCGTGTGGCCCGAGGAGTTCGAGTAGGCCGAAGCCCTGCCGCCAGACCGACGCCGCGGCACTGTGAGCGTACCGCGTCCCGCAGGCGTCCGCCACCAACCGAACTCATTTGCAGCCCAACCAGCCCTAGACTGAAACCAAGTTCCTATTAGAAACTGCCCCACCCCATTGCGTTGGTGGCGCATGCCCCCGGACGTGCGTGCGCTTGCCTGGAGTGCCTGGAGTCGCAGCGAGGCGAGGGACCCTCCAGCGACCCCCGCCTGCGGTGAAAACGTTTGACGAGCAGCCAACTAATGCTGTGTATGATTACTGCAATTATTTGTATCCTCTTTCGAAGCCATCCTCTGAGTCTGAGCAATTGCAAGTCGTCAAATAAAGAGAGAATCCTCCCACAGTTGCGCGTTTTCATTCCCCACCTTGCGGCCAAAGACACACGGGTTATTGAAAAAAAGGGCGGGGAGGACACCCACTTCGACGCTGGGCAGCATTCGCCGTAACCTAACCTGCCGTGCTGGTGTTTGCAGGCAGCGCGTGCTTCAACATGGCCGCCAAGTCCCCGGGCATCTGCAAGCTCCAGGCGAACTGTCGGCCGCCGGCGGGGGTGGGCAGCCAGGACCCCGCCTTGACCAAGCAGGTACACTGGGATGCTGTTCGAGCGCAGTGAGAAGATGGTGGAGCGAGTGGACTTGAACCCGCGGTTGCTTCAGGTCTGCTCCTTCAGCGGTGGCCAGCCAGTGGTGTGCTGCCCGACGTCGGCCGAGTCCATCGTGTTCCCCAGCTCGTTCCTGACGGCGTCCCTGGCCAACCGGCCGCGGCCGCCGCCCCTCGACGCCATCACCGCCCCGCTGGTGCCCACCAAGCCGCGGCCGCCGCCCCCCGCTGACGGCACGCCGGGCAGCATGGCCAGGAGGAGTGAGCATCCCGGTCGCGGGTTCGAGTACCGGCCACGTTCCCTTTTCCTCTTTCTGAGCGTCGTCTCGTTCCGCCTGTCGCAGAGTGCGTGGAGTACGAGCGGTACATCCCGAGCATCCGCTACGGCCCCGACAAGGACTGCGTGCCCAACCACACCTACCCCATCGGAGGCAACCCCGCACTGCCCAAGGAATTCCCCCACATGGTGAGCTCGCCGCACATGCGCCGCGGCCCGGCAGGGCTCATCAGGGTTTAATCAGGGCATCAACGACAGTTAACGTGGTGCTGCAGGCCCTGCTCGGCTACGGCTCGCGCTCCTCCATCTCCTACGGCTGCGGCGGCTCGCTCATCTCCACGGTGTGGATACTGACCGCGGCGCACTGCGTCTACTCGGGGGAGTAAGTCTCACCGCCGCGTGCGCGCGCGTGCGTCGCCGACAAGGCCGAGGCCCTGGACCTGAACGAGTGCGCGTTGCTGCGCGTTGCAGGGTGCCCGTGTCCTGGGCGCTGCTGGGCGACTTGGTGCGCGACCGCGAGGACGACGAGGCCTTCAAGCAGCTCATTCCCGTGGCCGAGCGCGTGAGCCACCCGGGCTTCAAGCCGCCGCAGGCCTACAACGACATCGCGCTGCTGCGCTTGCAGTGGTCGCCCAACATGACGACGGCGCACGTGCGGCCCACCTGCCTGCACGTAGACCGCGAGCTGCAGAAGGAGAAGCTGTACCTCACCGGCTGGGGCCACACCGAGTACGGTGAGCACACCGTCGGTGCCGCCGACCTTGGCTGCCCCGGCCGCTGCTTTCAATCTCTCGTGTGCTCCTGCACAGGGGGCGAGCCAGCCAACGCGCTCATGGAGGTGGCGTTGTACCGCACCAAGTACGAGGAGTGCCGGAAGTACTACGGCTCCAACTCGCAGAGCTTCATGCCGAATGGCGTGGACGACGACACCCAGCTCTGCGCCGGCGCGGGCCAGCTCCTCAAAGACGCCTGCCATGCAAGTACCGATTGCCGTACATTCACGCCCACTCGGAGGTGTTTCCAGTGGAGTGCTTTCCCCTCCCCCTTCCCAATGCCTGCTGGTAGGGCGGGGTGATTTACGCCTTTGGCTGTGGCGCACCCGGTGCGGCCCGGGTGCGGCCCATGTTACAGTGTGTCTGCTTCCAGGGCGACTCCGGCGGGCCGCTGCAGACGCCCGTCATCAAGGCCACGTGCATGCACCTGCTGGCGGGGGTGGTGTCGCTGGGCCAGGGCTGCGGCCTGGGGGCGGCCGGCATCTACACCAGGGTGTCCTTCTACGTGCCGTGGATCGAGAGCATCGTCTGGCCCGACCCGTAGTCCAGTGCCACGCACGCAACTTATCAATTTAACGTTGTTTCTTAGTTTAATTTTACTTTCGCATAGGACTGCATGCATATTATGCGGGTGCTGCTTTTTGCATCTTTTTATTTCGTGAACTTCAATTGTTCGCAACGGTCGTACTCGAAGAGATTACCGTGATTGAATCATACTGTGCAACTCGCGCGGGTTTTTGTAATCATGAGTGGCGCCTTTACACTTTTCCGAATCCGAAGTAAAGTTGGAGAGTGTTTAAGACCCGTTCCTTTTCCTAAGCGCTGCTCCACAATAAATATAAAACCAAATACTGCATGTTGTGTCTCGCGAATCGTAAGATTCCCCTCCTACCCTCCCCTCCACTCTTTGACCCCGCCCGCAGTTCGCGAGGGGCCCAGTCGTGTTCTTGGCCACTTTATTTTGGCCCCATTTTGGCGCGTTTAAAGGCAGTCCAGCGAGTCTGCAAGTGATAAGTGATAAGGATTTAATGTGTCACGAGGCGACCTCGTGCCCACTGCTATGCACACGGGCGCCAAACTGCTGTCTGGTCCGCCTGGTCAACGTTCTGCTTTGACCTGATACACTCTCACTCTCAGACACGCACATCACAGCCTCCGAGAATGTTTGCGACGAGCTTAGGCGAAAAATGGAGCAAAAAGACGAAATTATCTTCGGGCGATTGCTTCCCGCTGGTCGGCGCTGGCGCCCTTTCGGAATCAGGGAAGAAGGGTCAGGGGGCCGTCAGGGCGTCAGGGGGCATCACGCTGCGCAGCCTGCGCGGCCGGCCAGAGGCGTTACCTGATAGCAGGACGTATGCGACGTGCACTGTGCGTACGGCTTCACGGTTCTTCCCTAATTCGTAGGCAAGCTGGGTGTTCCGTTCATCTTTCAAAGAAGCCGCAAAATTTACCAAGAAACATTATACTTTAGTTTTTTGTGCGTTTTTATATTTTTTAAAAAATATATATGCAACAGTTCAGCCACTTAGTCATCGACATTTGAAAGAATTTCTCCTTGTAATTCTAGCTTTTGGGTTGGTTGCTTATTATTGTCTGTTGTAGTTTTCTGTGGCTTTTTTGTTTCTGCCCGCCTTCGCCTAACCGCTCCCACCCCTTTGGACTTCCCTGCGGCTTCTTCGCGCCCATCAAATCCGATCGTGTCTTTCGAGTTCCAAGTGTAATCCTCTTCCGGGATGCAATGTTTAGGAAACGTGACGGTCTTACCTTTGGGGCTTGTCCAAGGGCTCGCCTCACGGATGATGCAATTCGTGTGTGTAAACGACAGACGTAGTCCCCACAGACACTCTTGGGGGCTCGTCCCGTTCGCACAGCTGATGTAATGTTTGGTTAAAGTGACAGTATGGGTGTCGGGGGTGTGTCTCGTCGGGCAACTGCGTCTGAATCATTCATCATTGCTCATTACCGTGAAGCCAATCTTAATTCTGGGATAATTTTTCTGGGCCATCTTCACGCCATGCCTCCGGTATGTGCTGGAGCACTTCCCAGTCATCCTAGACTCTATCTCGAGGTTACTTTCAGCCCCTTACAGTAACTTTCTTTAAAAAAAAAAAAAAAAAAAAACGGGGCTGGTGTCCAGTTTTTCACGCCTTCCCTGTGACGTGTCAAAAGGGTGGTCTACCTTCACGGCGCGGTGCACCGCGTAACAATGATGGCAACAAAAATTTATTTTTCCTGCGACGCTAGTTGAGTTCTGGTGCGGTGAAGAGGCTGTGGACGATGGGTTGCCTACCTTTCGGGCGCATGCTCAAGTCATCAAAGTTTTTCGCCAGAAAAACACTGTGGTGGGTAATTAACCTCTGGTGCAGGATTTCTTCATTCTTTTGTGAATTACAACTAACATTGATGTATTTGTTTTGTAGAGTGAACTTTTTTTCAGTAATTTATGCCTGAGCTATATGGTAGCAAAGGTTAGCAGAATTAACTTCTGCAGTGTATGGGACAACCTTTCTCACTGGCACTGCCATTGGAATAACGATTGTTTGGTGATAACAGGATCTTCTCTTTATTCTCAGTCTTTGGCAAAATAAACTAAGCATATCAGACCAACAGCAACAACCAAACGGAATACATTTTTTTAACTAATGCAAATAAATCTGTAATTCACATCTTTTGCATGTTTTGCAAGTAACAACTTTTAAATCGAATTTTAGTGACAATAAGTCATCTAAAAGTTCATCAACAAAAGGCATTTCTTCAACTGAACAATTGAAAATATTGGAAAACAAAAATGCAGAACATAGATGGTGATGTCAGGCTTTGGCACAGTGCCTCTGAGGCAATAACGACAAACCAGTTCAATTTACAAACAAATTAAAATTTTGTCCAGTTGTTTGCACCAGTTTATCACTTTGATAGTAACATACTGAATGTTAACACTGACAAATGCACAAAAGAGATGCAACTTACTTCTAATCCCAGCATTGTGAAAGACAATATCACAGAGGTAATGATTTCCACACGGGAACAAAGTGAAAACACAAGTGTCGTTAAAGATATGGCCAGCTCAACAGGAAGGAGTATTCCCCCTGGGCAAAAATATATATACATAACTCTATAGACAATTAAATAAGTAAAAGATTACTTAAATTATTAAGGGAATGAAATTTCCTGTGCTTTTAAATCTGTAAACATGATATTTTGTCTAGATCTTGCAATGGTTATCAAGATTTACGGCTATAAAATAGTTCCTATTTCCAAACAGCAATGCAGCACAACAGATGAGATGTATTTAACATAAAAAGAACTCTAATCTTATAAAAATTTAATACATTGCTTATATTATTAGGATCACAATGTACCATGATTAAATATTAAGTAAGTCATACATACACATTTTTTTAAAGGATGACTGGACACAACACGGACAAAACTGTTGAAGAAACAAGCATCTTCATGAGATAAAAAGAACAACTGTGTGTGAAAACAGTAGCAGTATGGGAAGCAAACCCTGGCATGGTGGAAAGTAAGATGTTGTATCCAACTAAGATGTACAAATACCACATGAAGACAGAGGGGAGCCATTCTAGTATACAGACACAAGAGGATAGAAACCAAAGTTAGCTCAGTAAAATACAACAAAATCAGTAATTATCTTAAAAAAAAAAGTAAAATAGGAACAAATTATACAGGTAATAAAGGTGCTTTGCTCATGTTCATGCTGCTACTGACTCTGGAAGTAAATATCTTTGTAAAAAAGGTGATGCCAGCTCTACCTCCAGGTATTGAGCTAGCCAGGAAAAATAGAAGGGCAATAATTTGTAAAACAGCACAGAGTACAGTCAGTGGTGTGCTTTGGGCAAATAATGCAAAATACAAAGTGGCAAACAATGTGCCAAAATAACAAGAAGTGAACATGATTCGTTCTCTTGAAAACAGGTGTCTGAGGTGGGTCATAGGGCCCCAGAGAAATGAAAAGCTGGAAAAGCAGAATAAACACAGTTTAGGACAAGGCAGGTGAAATGGAGAGCAATAAAGTCACAAATATTTACCTGCATAAAAAGAACAAGCTGCCCATGGTGTATAGAAGAGCAAACTTCCTTGCCTTAAACAGTAGAACAGGTGCATAGAAAGCAGCAATGGAGAAACATATTACTCCCATGAAAAGGCAAAGGCAAAACCCCACGATGCGTTGCATACGGCCCTGTAACAAAAATGGGGGGAAAAGTGTTAATAAATCGAACTTGATAGGATAGACACAATTTTGACACTGACAGTGACAGCTAGTCTCAAGTTCGGGGTCAATATGATAACTTAAATAACATTGGCAGGGGGCAGCAAAGAGTCTTAAGGAAGATGAAAATCAACTATTTTTGTTATTCTGGAACAAATTAGCAGAATCTGCCAGCCATTCGATACTGAAATAATATAAACAACAAAAATACAGGTTATGTGACTCACCATACTGGGACAACAGTCTTTTTGAGTTTCTTGAAACCAACCATAGCTGCTTTCTTCGGGTGCTGCATTTTGTTTCTTGGTCCATTTTCCGAACTCTGGAAGAGCGAAAGATAGAGACAAATTACTATGTTTTGGTTGAGATTTTTCACTATTTCTCGACAAATAGTCGTCCAAATCTTTCTTGAGGTCTGCCATATTGCAGCCACAAAACGCGCTGCAGAATTTGTCATAGCCTGGATAACGGCCCGCTACGTGGTCGCTATGAGAATTTTAGCGACTTTAAAACTGGTGGGTGGAAGTGGTGGGGAGAAGCGGGATTTCCAAATTTCCATCAGTTCTCTGCATTCAAATCAAACAGTCGTGCGATGTTTGATGGCATTTGCCATGAAAATTGGTTAATTCTTCGGCAAGTGAAGCGAGTAATGCTGGTTCTAAACCATCCATCCACCCGATGGTTTGCTGATTACAGAAAACAATTGAAGGGAAGTTTCGATAGCTCTGATAGCGAGTCGAGGGATTAGCGGCTGACGCTTGGATTATTATATTTTCGATTGATGGACCAAAATGACGACAAACTCAGTAATATGGGCGTTTCTCAGAGGCCTCAGCCTTCAGTTTCGTGGCGAAGTAATGAAGGCCTTTCCCACGCCCAGGTGGGTATGACATCATGTTGGGCTACGGCAAGCCACGGCACGGGGAAGGCCCACCTCCAGCCAGGCCCACCCTTAGCCACGACGGGTGACGGCTATCTGTCAGCCAGCCCTAGACGAGATGCACGGGGTCAGGCTGGGCTCAGGGAGTCCCAGGCCGCGTCTGCTGTACCGCTGTTGGGGTTGGGCCGTTGGGCCCACGCTCCTCATTACTGGCGTTCGGGATTCGGGACCGGCTAGGGCCAGGGGGGAGGGGAGGGGCGGTCGCAGCGCCGCCACGCGACGCCAGCCCACGCCAGCCCACGCCAGCCCAGCCCCGGCTCGCCTGTCTCCATCCCCATCCCTCCTTGATCTCCAAGGGGAGGGACAAGGATCAAGCAGCCGCGCTCCGGTCGGGCTGGGTGCGCGGGGTGGGGCGGGGCGCAGGGGTAGCTCGGGCGGGGCGCGGCGGCAGGGTCGGTACAGGGGATGACCGAGCCACGGGCGAGCGGTGGGGGATGGTGTGGGGTGTGGGGCGTCGCGGGGCGGAGGGCGGAGGGTGGCTAGAGGGCTGTGGGGGTTGGGGCTGGGGCCGGGGCGGCGCTCGGCGCTCGGTGTGTAGCCACCCTCCAGTTACGGACCCCAGTCTGACGGGCAAGGGTCGGAGCGCTGCCCGGCGCGCCGCACTCTGCCTGCCCGAAGGTTGCTTTGCTCTTGGTCCTGGTGATCATTCTGACCGCACCGCTCCACCTCGCCCAGCGACGCGCCGCCAGCAACTCGTGTTCGTCGTGGTGAAGTGATTGTGCGTCGAGTGACCCGTGGTGGCCGTTTAGTTTCGGTGCTTGGGGCCCCGATCGAGGAGTGTGCATCGCAAGAGCCGCGGCGACACGGCGTCGACGCGCCGCCAACCACACCGTCGTCCAGCCTGGTGCAGTCAGGAGGTGCAGTTTGGCCCCTGTGAGGCCGTGCGCGCGTGTCGAGGACGGCGTCGAGGACGGCGTGTTTTGCTCCCCCCGCCCTGCCCCTGGCCTGCCCCTGGCCTCCGTGCACTCGCCGTTCCCCGCCCCCGCCGCAGTCGTAAGACTTCCATCGATCCGCGCCGAGCCGAGCGGAGCAGCGACGCACCGAGCCCGGCCGGGCCAGCAGCGCGGGGCAGCGCGGAGTGGTGAGGGAGGGCCCTCCTCGGTGTGAGGTGCGAGCGAGAGCGACGTCGCCGTCCCCGACGCGGCGCCATCTTGCTCCGGTGGCGCCACCACGCTAGCGCCGCCGCGCCAACGTCGTGCTTGCTGCACCACCCCCTGAGGCCGCGCGGGCCGAGCCGCAGGCACTGGTACCTGCCCTCGCGATGGGCGGACCGTTGGCGTAGCCAGAGGCACTGTCAGTGGCGGAGGTGACGTCCGCGCCGACCACGACGCCGTCATGGGGACGGTGCTGAGCTTCAGCCCGCGAGAGCGGCGCCCCGGCCCCGCCAACCCCGTGGCCTTCGCGTCCAGCACGGGTCTGGGCTCCGAGTACACGCTCAACAACTACAGCCTGGAGCAGCTCAACAACGTCAAGAACCAGCAGCAGCTGCCCACCCCGCAGGTGTTGCCCCAGGTGCAAGTGCTGTCACCCTCGCCGTCGGCACCGCATCTGCAGGTGCCCCCCGCCTCCTCGCACCACATCCACAACAACAACAATAACAACAACAATAACATCAACAACGACGCGACGACGCGCATCCTGTGCGAGAAGAACACCAACGCGCTCGACAAGAACCTCAAGAAGCATTCGCTGTTTATCAACGCGCTTAGCTGGAAGCGGTTCTCCACTACCAACAACAACAAGAACAAGAACAACAACAAAAACAAGAACCTGACAGCGTTCCGCCAGCCCATCGTGGACAACATCCACCACCCGCTGGCGCACGGCGTCGTGGTGGACAAGAACAAGAACTTCCAGAAGTCGGGCGGGCACGCGCCGCTCGCCTCGTACTACCCCGTCGTCAAGTCGGCGTCCACCAACACGGTGTCCATCAGCGCGCTGGACGTGGTGCACGCGTCGCACGCCGCCAGGGACGCCGCTAGGGACGCCGCCAGGGCCAACAACGCCAACAACAACCAGCACCATGCCGACAAGGCCGACAAGCTGGTGCCCAAGGCGGGCCTTCCCTCGGCCGCGCTGCCCGCCCAGGCGCAGCCGCAGGTCGTGCCGCCCCAGCAGCAGCCCGCCAAGGTGTCGCACGGCGTGCAGACCAACCTGCCCGTCCCCAGGAAGACCGTCATCCAGGCCTCCACGTCCGAGCTGCTCAAGTGCCTGGGCATCTTCCTCCACACGCGCTGCCGGCGGCTGCACGAGTTCCAGGCCGGCGACGCCGTCACCTGGCTGCGCTCCGTGGACCGGAGCCTCTTGCTGCAGGGCTGGCAGGTCAGTCCCGGGTTGGAAGACCCGCCATTTCTTTCGTCCTTTTCTGGCTGATGGGTTTAGTTGTTGTTTTTCTTGCTTGGCTCGTCCTGTATGGCAGTGTGCATGCAAAAGGACATGATGCCTTTATCTGAAGGCCGGGGCCGTGGCGGCCACAAAGGCACACGGCGCGCGGCGTGCGGCACGGGGTAACGGTAGCCATGCGGTAGCGGTGGCGGTCATTTCATTTGGGGCCGAGCCACTCGGTGGCAACCAGAGCGAGGCCGCGTGGAGCCAGAGCGGGCCGCGGGCCGCGTGCAGTGCCGCGTGCCGTGCCCCGTGCCGCACGCGCACTGCCCAACGCCCCAGTGCTCCAGTGCGGCAGTGCGGACGCAGCGGCTTCATGTCTTCCCCATCCAGGGCGGGGTGTGCGCTGCATCGCGGGAACAGCCAGCAGCAGGGGGAGGGGGAGGGTCGCTAGTTGGAAGTCAAACAGAGCCTCGTTCTCATTTCAGAGCGATTCCGGACATCGCCGGCTTCCTCGCTCGGTCTCTCTCCCACTCATGAGGCGTCCCGTTCAAGTGTGAGACGCGGAGCGACGAAACGATGTGCGAATTGATCCTGTAGGCTGCGTGCGGTCTCAAACGCATTGCGAGGCCGAATCTGTTCCCACGCGAGATTGACAACCCCCTGTAGGTAGGCAGCCCACCAAACCAATCACCCAGCCCAGAGGAGCTTCCTTGACGCGCTGTCGCTGGAGTCATGGGCTTAGGGGTGGGCTGCCGACCCGTGCCGAGCTGCCCCATTGACGCACGCAAGACGCGGAACGACGGCAACATGCCGATGACGGCGAGTGAGCGACGAGTGAGCGGCGGGTTGGGCGCCAGTTCGTTGGCATCGCGCGGCACGGCGCAGCAGGGCGGCTGTCAGGCCGACTGCTCTGACGGGCTGCCGGCTTTGACTAAGCAACACGCGAGACGCGAGCGAGCACGGAATAAGGGTGGATTCGGGGAATTCAGTAGCCAAGGGGGAGGCCAGGCCACGCCACGCCAGGCCACGCCACCGCCCCCTGCATCGACTTGACCCGCACGGCCCTCAATGCACTGCACACAGGCGGTGAGGCGGTACAAGCGCACAAACTTCCTTTACGATCCCGGGGGGCTCGACCTGACTCGAGGTAAGGCGGGACGGAGGGCGGCACTCCGGAAAACATAAACTGGAAAAAAGAAACAGCCCGAACGGGGCCCCGCCCCGTTTGCATCGGTCTCGTCGGAAAGTTCGCGGAGATGATTGAGGTCCTGAAATAGAGCGATCGGCTCGCACGAGCGCACAATCGGCGTGGGCCCGATCCGCCGCGCGTGCCGCTGCGTCCTGCGTCCAGGGCTTTGGCCCGCTTGGCCCGCTTGGCCCGCTTGGCCCGCTTGGCCCGCTTGGCCCGCTTGGCCCGCTTGGCCCGCTTGGCCCGCTTGGCCAGGTAGACGGACACAAAACGAGACCAGCGGGGCGGGGCCAGGCGGGGCCAGGCGGGGCGTCGCAGCGGGGTGGCATTTACCTGGCCGCCTGCCTGGGACAGCCCTGCGGCCTCGCGCCCTTGCGGCGTCACGGGAAAAGGGCACAGCGCTCCCGCAGGAGCCTCCCTCCCCGAAGGACTTCGAGACTCGTTCCCGTTCCGCTGGGTACATCGCCGGATGTCAGTCACGCCGCGGAAGAGAAAGTATCGGAAGAAAGGGTAGTGTGTCCAAGAAGGATAACCTATTTATAAACCGCCTTCGCGGGAGCATGGGGCGGGGCAATGCAAGGCACAGGCCGCACTGGCGTTGGGGGTGTTTCGGGTAGCGGGGGCCGTGGGGGCACTGGGCCTTGGGAAAGCCGGGCCGCGACTGCTGCCTTGGGCTGCTCAGACAGGCCGGCACAGCGCTAGGATTCGATCACTACAAGCTGGGCACATCGCAGTCTGCCATCCCCAGCGAGGGGAGTGACAACCCCCAACACCTCGCCTGCCAGGCTGCCGCGCTCGGCCTGGCCTCCCTTAAACGGGTTGACGTCACCGACTTGGACCGGCAGGGCGGCACGGTGGCGGTGTGGCACGGAGGCCGCGCGGGGGACGCGGGGGACGCGCCCAGGCCGGGCCGGCCTCATGCATCATCACCATCAGTGCCTCTGTGGCACTCATGGGTCGTGCCGCGGGGGCGCGCGCGCGCGAGAGAGAGAGAGAGAGAGAGAGAGGGGGGAGAGAGAGAGAGAGAGAGAGAGAGAGAGAGAGAGAGAGAGAGAGAGAGAGAGAGAGAGAGAGAGAGAGAGAGAGCGTCGAAAGCCCAATGCGGCTTGCTGGGCGGCGTGGGCGTTCTGGAGGACCATTCAAACCGCGCCGTTTTCCATGGCAACGACCGCGAGCTCGGTTGACCATGCCAGCGCGGCGCAGCGCGGCAATGCCCATAGGCAATTATCGATACGGGTTTGCGAGGGCGGTAGGGCCGGCACTACTCGGTACCGCCCAAGGCTTTCCGGCGGGGCGGCGAGGCAAGGCGAGACCGCTAGACGGCGGGGCTGCACCAAGCTCATAGACCGATTCCATGAGTCGTTTCGGTCGGTGTGTCCCTCTCACACCTACAGCGGACGGCCTGTGAGTGCGAGAGAGACAGCTCTAAGTCTGCTGGCGGCGCGGCGATAAGATTCGTCGTATCGCGGCCATCCACTTGATGTATCGCGCTTTGATGGGAGTGGTCTCGAGAGCGGCGGCGACTCGCCCTTTGCGCGCCACCGCCACCTCCCCCTCCCCTCCCCCTCCCCCACCCCCTCACCTTCCCCGCCCCTGCCGCTCGCGGCGCCGCTATCGATCGTGTCGGGGTCGCGCCGTAGTCCGGGGAGGAGAGGAGTCGAAGCCACCACCCGGAGCTCTGGCGCAGCCCTGCGCAGCCCTGCGCAGCCGAGTGGAGCCGAGGGACTCGGGGCCTAACACGGCGCGAGCCGAGCGGAGCCGAACGGCGAGCGCGCGCACCACCACACCCTCCCGCCGCTCTATCTCTCTCTCTCTCACACACACACACACGCGCGCGCGCGTACCCACAAACACAAGCACGCGGGGGCGCAAACTCTGCCACGCAAAACACCAAGGCCTTCCTTTGCACGTGGCTACGGGGCGGCGGGGCGGTAGGACCTCGGTCGCCGAATTGCGCAGCGGGCAGGCAGGGGGTCCGGGCGTGGCGCCGGCCCGGCGGAGCGGTGAATCTGCCCGCTAACGATGATGTCGAGGTTGTCGCGGATTATTTCGATTTGGTCCAGCAGTCGGGGTGGGTTGGGATGAATGGGCGTTGCTGATGGTAAAAATAAAGCGCGCGCTCGGGGAGCCGGGGAGCTCGTTGCCGGGGGATGCTGTTGGCTGGACTGGCGGCGGAGGGCCCCCGCGGGGGTAGGCCGCCCGCCCAGGCAAGGTGTCCGGCGGGACTGCCCGCCCACGACTCTGCGGGCGTTCGTGCGGACCGTGGGGCGGGGCAGGCGGGGCAGGCGGGGCAGGCGGGGCAGGCGGGGCAGGCGGGGCAGGCGGGGCAGGCGGGGCAGGCGGGGCAGGCGGGGCAGGCGGGGCAAGCGGGGCAGGCGGGGCGGCGGGGCGGCGCTTTGACACCAACCTAACCACGTGTCTCTCTCTTGTGCGCAGGACATCGCCTTCATCAATCCGGCCAACGTGGTGTTCGTGTACATGCTGGTGCGCGAGCTGGTGGACGAGGACGTGACCTCGGAGCAGGAGCTGCAGGCCGTGGTGCTGACATGCCTCTACCTGTCCTACTCGTACATGGGCAACGAGATCTCGTACCCGCTCAAGCCCTTCCTCGTGGAGCAGAGCAAGGACGCCTTCTGGGACCGGTGCCTGGACATCGTGTCGCGGCTGTCCAGGGACATGCTGCGGATCAACGCCGAGCCGGGCTTCTTCACGGAGATCTTCACCGAGCTCAAGATGTGGGGCATCAACAGCGCGCTGGGGATGCACCTGATGCACCCGCACACGCACGCCGCGCACGCGCACGCCACGCACGTCAGCCAGACGCGGCAGCACCAGCACCGCGTCACGGTGACCAAGGGGTCACCGGGGAGGAACCCCGCGGCCAGCTGCAAGCCGCCAGCGCCGCAGCCACCGCACCTCCTAGTGCCGCCGCCAGTGCTGGCGCCGCCCATGCTGGCGCCGCTGGCCACCCGGGACGACGCGCTGTCCGACGCGGAGACGCCGAACCCCAGGCCAGCGCTGCCGCTGCCGCTGCTCACCGCCTGGAACGACGCGTCCCCCGACGAGAACCACAACCCCAAGATGCTGCCCAGCGCCACCACCACGCGCTCCCGCGAGGACAACAACGGCAACGAGTTGAGCGCCGCGTCGTCCCGGGTGTGCTCGGCGGCGTCCACGCCCGACGCCGAGGACACCCTGACGACCGACGGCGTGCCGCACGCCGCCGCCACGGCCACCCCGGCCGAGGTGGACCAGGCGGATGCGGACGGCGGCCAGGGCACGACGGCTGCTTGACCGGCCTCGGTGCCGTGCACGGCGTGCCCCGGGGAGCCGTCCGACCCAGCCAGCCAGCCCCTCCGGGGACACTCCACGCTGCTGGTCAAGCTGGCCCTCGCCAAGTCGCGCCGCTGCCAGCAGTACGTCACGACGTTGTGAAGCACGCTCGTCTGGCTGCTGCGTGACACGCGACGCACGCGACAGGCTGGACTCATGCGCCGAGCGCACGCGAGCCACAGCCACGACTTGCGCTGCAGTGCGCTGACCGGCAGAACCACGCCCTGTTCTCGCCAACAAAAACATGCGTTCTATCCTATCCTATCGAGTTGTGAAGTGAATGTAGTTAGAACCAAACTCTTTCCTTTCCTTTCGTTTGTTATTGTTGTCATTGTTTTCAAGTTACCAAAATACCTGTATGAGTTTTGTCTGTTATAGTGATTTCTGAGCGTGATTTGATATTACTTATCTTCTCGTGGTATGGCTAGCAAGCGAGTGTGAGTAATGGTGAGATTTTCTTGTTTCCTATTTTTGTTTGAGGTGCTCGTCGGAGAGCGGCAGCGGGAAGAATGTGAGAGTGGGACTTCCCTCTGTTGGTGTCCGATTATTATTATGTCTTTTTTAAATTATGATTGTGATTATTATTATTTTTATTATGATTGTGATTACGTATTATAATTTTATTATGATTATGATAATTATTATTACTTATTTCACTTTTATTTGAAGGCTGTGATTTTACTCATCTTAGTTCGTAATGCTTTTCGCGATTAATGTTAATTTTACTCGTGCAACGGTTTGAGCTAGGCGAGGTGAAGGAACAGCATCCAATAGCAATCCTCCCTTTTCCGCAACCACTGTGATATTTGAAAATGAAATGGCCAACGGACGAGGAGAAGTTTGGCAGTGAACATTGGGCGTCCACGACTAGCCAAAATAGTGCCGCTGGCATTTTGCCCTCCGAAAACTGGCGGGCTATAGTGTGGATTTGTGCAGCAAAGAAGGGACACTTATCAGCGCCTTGAGTATTGTTATTGTTAACGTTGTGATAGTCAGGGTTCGCGACGCAGCACTGCCTCCGGACTGCCCTAGCCCTGCCTTCGGTGTGTTGTGAACATTAGCATAGCCCTAGCCCTGTAATACGTCCAAAAAACACAAAAAAGGGCAAGGTCACCCTATTTGTATCACACTGAATCCAAAGTGCCGTATCATTCAATATTTCCATGACGAAATACCGAATTCACTTTCTGGTGTCGAGGGAACTCCATCAACTTATTTTCCAAGGTCATTCTCTCGAGGGAGATATGTTAGCTAAAATATATGATAAACTAAAGTGAGAATTAGTGATGAGAAGCGAGTTATTTGTGTCCACGAGGACTTAACTTAATTGTTAAGATTATATACAGATCCATTTTACAACATTGTTCATCTAAATGGTAAGGGCTTGAGGGTCAGTGAAGGTGAGCAAATAAAAAGTAAGCTCCTTTTGGGTCTGCTCGAGGGGGCAACCACTCGAGAAATCCTGTGACCCCTGGAGCCCCAGAAATCTCTGGAAATCCGAAATCTTTCCCCAAAAAGGCAAAAAACAAGCAGATTTTAGGCTTAAAATTGGATGAAATCCGACGAAATCTCTTGTCTTAAGAAATCGTGTCCCTAAACATCGTACGTGGTTGTCCCCTCGGGTCTGCTGCACATTTCAAACCAACTGCGTTTGTAAAGTGCAAGGGAGGCCATATCATCGGCGAACACAAGCACGTACTATATTTCTCTGCGCTTGCCTTTACTAATCCTTGATCCTTTCATCTGCTCGGTGAGCCCCAAGGTTTCCCTAGTGGTAGGTGAGTTCCACGATGTCCAGGTTGATAGACTTAAGAACTCCTTTCGAATGTAGAAAGTAACACACATTACATAGAAATTTAGAAGGGTGTCCTGAATAGTTGTTTACTTGCCACCTGTCTCTTACTTCAGAAAGGCGTATTCGTATTGTGATGTGTCATTGATCATTCATCTGTATCGTTTGTCGAAAACATGAACAATGCGAGCAACTATAGTTCTCTTCTTTACTGGTTTTGTTGTTGGGGCTTATTCTGCTCATATACCTGTTGATATTAAAGTGCAGTTTGCTTTTAAATTAATGCGGGCATTACAACATCTGTGTTTCTTTTGTGTGAGTTTAGTGAAAATTGAGATTAATCCTACTTTTCTACTGTTAAATCGACGGAACCGTGTCCCCAAAGCAATCCTGTGTGAATGGCTCTCATTGCCTCGACAGACTCACGACACGGTTTTGCCACAAGTCATTAAATGAGTTGGAACAAGGCAAACAATTTATGTAATTTTATGTAGTTGGTAAGAGAAATATAGTTATGGCTCCTGAAGGGCTGGTTAAAGTACTGGTTACGCGACACACAGCCGATCCACCACTGACAACTCAGTTGAGGTGAGGACGAATTAATTGTTTCTTTATATTTTCGTCAGTGGTGTGCATCATAGAAGTCAAACAATTATATGGCTGTGTGTTTTGAAGATTCAACTGTTCTCATTAAAATAGTCGTAGCTAGTAAGTTCGGAAATCCCAGAGGTTTTCATGGGCCGATTTAGTGCAATACTATGGTCTCTATGTTCTCAGTTTGACAAAGAGTCATATGATTAAACTCTCAAAATACGTTCTTACAAATACGTTACTGCATAAGTCAATGTTCTTGTAATCGTTTTGTTTTCATTTTGTTCTAAGCAAATAAAACTTATTTTTTTTACATAATTGAATTGTATGCTGACACGATATTTCTTTTCAATTTCTCTCACTTGTTTCACAATGATGTATCCAGGGCTTATCGTTTTCAAACGACCAAACTTGTCTGTGAGTGAGGCACATGAGTGTTCGTCAAGACGTTCAAATCAATACAAATTTTGGTTCAGATTACCGTTGCTGTTAAATTCTGGTTTGGATGTCGACATGGATCAGAATAGGATAGTGAAACATCCGTGCAACGACGCCGCACTCAGTGTGGACACAATCCATACAGTACCCGTATATAATAGACTTCTGTTTAATCAGGGCATAATAAAGTGAACCAAATTGTTACATATCTCGCTTTTGTTCCTGACCCCGTCCTCGACAGACCACACACATACGTATACACGCATGGAGGCACGACAAGAACACACCGAGGGGAAGTGTGTTGAGGCAGCCACGGAGCCAGGGCCGCCAGGGCAATGCATACGGTCCGTGCATGGCGTGCCACCATTTCAAACAACGCCGTCCTCTGCGACTGAGCGCTCTGATGACCCCTCCCGTCCCCGTTTCGGCCCTCTGGCTCCAGCTCGGCCTCGACTCGGCATCTAGCGGCAGTCTTGAGACGCGCTCCGTCCGGAGATGGCCTCCCCACGGTAGTGTCCCGTGTCCCCTAAAGGATGACAAACCTCGCGACGAGCACGCCAACAAGAGCACCGCCGCGACGTCCCCGGCGTCCTCGTCCTGCCGGCCCCGCCCTCGGCCTGCTCCCCTTGCTCCTGTGCGTCGCTCTAGCCGGAGGGAGCGCGGCCCGCGCCGCGACCGACTCCATGCACCTCGTGGAGACGCTCAGCCCGAAGGCCTTCGCCACGACCCAAAAGATCACGAGGATTTCCCCTGTGCCACCAGGCGCCCCTGCCTGGCCAGCACCGCGGGGCCACACCCTCAGCAGGTAGGAATTGGCATGCTCCCCGCACTGGAGAAGGACTGCTCCGCTTCACTGCTCCGCTCAATTCCACACAGGAGCGATATTGCTGCCGACGGCCTCGTCCTGGTCGACGCCATGCCCTCCGACTCTGAGGAGCCAACGGCCGTCAGAGGGCGCGACCACAAGTGCCGCCCCAAGGCCGTGTCCGCGACGCCCAGGAAGCTGAGCGACCGCGGCGGCGACCGCGGCGGTGACGGTCGGCGTCGAGGCGCCGGGGAGCGGGTGTCCCCGAGCCCGGCCTTCGACACTTACGCCGAGGACGGCGGATTCGAGATCGACGTCCGACCGGTACGCCTCCCGCCCCTCGCGGACAGCAGGGAAGACGGGCTGCCGTTCAGCCTGTGGGACGGCGCGGGGCGGCGGCCGCAGTACCTGGACCACGACGACCTCGACCAGCCGCCGTCCTTCGAAGGTGAGCTCACTGTGTCAACGAACCGCGTTGTTCAAGTCAGGAACTCCTTGTGACAGTTAGCTGGACGTTTGGGGCGCGTGGTGGAGCGCGTGTTGTGCTCCGAGAAGCGCCCGCCGTCCGCCGGGTAGGCCACCCATCCAACGCGCCTGCGACGCATGCTGCTGGCCAGGCGCTCCATTACCATTAAGGGCTAGACCACACATGATCGTATGCCATTTCGGGCCCGACACATGCTCGCCTGCACTGCAAAACGAGACAAGGTCGTCCTTACTAGGGTGACACGTTATGCCGGCGGAGAAGAACCTCAATCGGCTACATGCTCCCACTCGCAGTATGACCAGTCAGGGCGAGGAGCTTTTTCTGTCTTTCTGAAGAAGGTGAAGGTTACCTTCTGCTTTTCGCTTGCAGCCGCTTCCGGTGAAAGTGCGGAGGCACACCACGGCCACGGACTCGAGGGGCATGGCGTGGACGGCGGCCACGGCAGGGGGCCGGTCGTGGTGAGGGCACCGCCGTTCAACTCGGTGGCCATCGGCTTCCTCATCTACCTGGTGCTGCTCACCTTGCTGCAGGCCTCCATTTACGACACGTCCCAGAAGGGGCTGCTCAGCAGCCTACTGGGGCCGCTGGGGCTCAAGCCCTCGCGGAACCGTCGTGACATGGAGGACGACGTGGAGGGCGCTGACGTGATCCTCGGCCAGGCGGGGGAGCGGCGCGTGTCCATCCTGGGTCTGGAGCACCACGACCAAGGTCTGCAGCAGGGCGCGGCGCCCACACTGCCCGCCCTGGAACACCGGCCAGTGCTCGTGGCGGCGGTGCTGGAGTCGGAGGACGGAGACGGAGGCCCTCGTAGTGTCAGGACTCGCAGGGACGCCCCAAGGCGAGGGGGTCGGAGCTAACCCCACGCCCCACACTCTCCTCTCCGTTGTGGGCTGAGGGTCTCGTTGTCCTTGTGGGCGTGTGATATTTTGTAAAGGAACTTAACTCCCTGTATCAATTAGGTAATCATTTTATTTTTATCTCAGAAGATCTTCTACAAGTGTCAGTAAGTCCTGAACAGTTTTACACCAAGCATAGGGGAGTAGTAGTAGGAAGTTCCTACAAACATTGGATAATATCAATTTGTATGAAGAATCCAGGCTTTCAAATAATTACAAAATACACTTCAATCTGGGGCCGAATACATTTTCAGTCTTCCGACCACTGCATCAGCAACACACACTTCAAATTAAAAAAATAAAAAAAATGACAGAATTGCACTCTTTAATTACCTTATAATTATACCTCAGTTTAACAGAATAGATAATGAATTGCCCCAATGATTTTGACTGGTGCACTAAACATCAATAATAATAATAATAATAAATATACAAATCACAATGTTTCCGTTTAATGGTGTGTTTAAAACTTAAACAAAATTCTAAGAGTTGGAGTCACTTGTTGAGAAGCAGAACTTTAAGCTACATCGAAATTTACATGAATTGTTAATGAGCAACAAACAATGTTACGAGTGAAGTCCCACTATGTTTAAGATTAGATTATTTACTGCCGAACTATCTCAAATGGCATGTTACTCCAAGCCAAGCAATAAGAGACCAAAAAGAAGTCAGCATGTCAACCATAGGAGAGCTAATTTCATCCCAACTTAGGCATGTAACTGTATGTATGTTACTGCATGTACAGAGGCACTATGGACATTGTGAAAAAGAATTACAATCTTTCATACTTTCTTTTTGTTTTATTGAAAAACAGCTTACAATACATACTTTTACATTGGATCACACAGATAATATTTACAACACACAAGTGTTCTGTGCACATAGCCTACTAGGTAAGCAAAGGATCCACCTTCAAAATAAAACATCACAGAAGTTCGTCAGAGAAAATCCTTTATTTACATTTATGCCCACTAGCCTTTTCAGTTTCTCATGAGGGAAAGTGGGAAAATTAGCTCATAATTTGGTTAACTTAGCTGACCACAAACAAATTGTATTTCATTTTTACAGAGACATTTTTAACTGGTTACATTTCTTACAGATTTAAAGTAAGGCCTGGAAGATTGCTTACTAGCCAGGATTAATTTACACAGCAGAGTAAGCAAATATTCTGTACTTGCAAAAATGCAAGTTGATACTTTCAATTAGATTTGAAAAAGCATCGATGTTTTACAAAAGTATTTTGAATATTGATTCATGCATCAAACAATGGAACACCATGAAAATATTTTGAAAAATTTGAATGAGTTTGCCAAATGTAACATTTACGAACAATTTGTGTAGTTTTGTAACAAAAGTTTACAGTCCAGAATATACAGGCTTGATGGTGAAGTCTGCTGCCAGTTGTAAACAATAAACTGCGCATAAACCATGGCGCTGAGCATTGCTCAAAAATTTACATGGTTCCAAATTCCAAGCATCCTCTGAGCAAGCAATACCATTTTACTTTAACAATAAAACTGATACACATAGCAATGTACACAATATGAGCAAAACAAGTCACAACTGAAACAAAAGATAAATTTAAGATATCCGAAATGAAACAGCCTGTCAGAGGAAACAAGGAAATAAAGCAATTTTTGACCAGAAATGAATGGCATGTCAAAATACAAAAACTATATGAGAAAAGAAAAGGTGTGATGCGAGGAGGTAACATAGGTGGGAAGACCCCATAATGACTCAGTTTTAAAACAGCTTCCTGGCAAAGAAAAGTTACAAATAGAGCATATCTAATTAATTTAAATGAACTTTCTGACATCAATTGATGATTAACTCAAATGAACTCATTAGAGTTCCTGAAATAGGGACATAACTCTTCACACAGTGAAGAAAAAAACCTCGCCACTTGTGCAAGATGCTCCACAAGACCAGAGAGCTACATTCTCTGCAAGGAGCTGATTGAAAGGTAAAAGGGAAAAAGGAACTTTAAAGATAATGCTCAGAGATTCAACAGGAGGGTCCAAGAGAAAGCGGTCATTGCCAGAAAGAAGCTTTTCTCTCTAACAAATAAAAGTAATAATAAAAAAAAAAAAGAAAAAGGTACAAAAGAGATGAATAAAATCTAATATTAAAGTTGCTATCTTATAAAACCAATTTACATATTTTCTTCAGCATACTGAAGAAATAATTTATACACACATATTTTGTTCAAAAATGTGAACATAAGTTCTTGGCAATCACCGCCATGATATCACAAGTGGAAGGGGGTCCAAGAAACACTGTGGATGAAATGCTATAAGTGGAAGCCATAGTACCTCTGCAGCAGAAGCATGAAGCTAAGGTTTCCATGCTCCAAAAGGCAGATAAAGTTAACAGAAAAGACATACTTTCGAAGATTCAACCACACTAGTGTTTCGACACTTTGAATCAGTACATGCCTGCTTCACTTTAAAGAACCACCGAATCACATTTAACAATGTGTCCACAGCCCTGCTTCAAGTCCTCCATTGTGCCACACTAGACGGTAACGCCGAGGGTATCTTCTACTAGGGAGATCAGGTAATGTCCGACAGGATAATCTGCCACTGAACGTTCCCTAAAGGAAGCTTCCGTGGTGTGTGGCCAGGTGACGGTTGTTATCTTCGATCCCGGTACATGAGGTAGTGTTTCAATGCTTGGGGAAGCCTTAATTTTTGAATCTTGTCCTCCAAATTTCTTTTACCAATACGTTGCCTTATAACCCTCCGGCAGAGATCCATTAAAGGTAGGGGTTCAGCTGAAAAATGAAAAAGAAACAATAAACTTTTGATCTATGTCATGTGAAAAGCAGTACCAAAGTAGTTAGATACTCACGATCAAGTCCTCCTATATACTTCATAGTAATTTCACAGTGTCCCCATACTGCACTAACGATAGGATGCAATTTCTTGCCCTTCAGTCCTCGGAATGCTACACCAAGGTATTGGCCATCAACCACAAATGAAAGGGTACCTTCATCCATATCAAGGACAACTGCAAAAGAGAACAAAAAATTAATTTGAGCTTTGAATGCAATCCAGTACAGATACTGTGTCAAACAAATTAATAGCTCTCATGCAACAAAGAAATTCAAGGAACTTACCGAGGAACTTATCAGGAACGATAAAAGTTTCATCAGGTTTCAATAATGCAGGGTATGTGACACCAGCATTATTTTTCGAATCATGGTATAATTTGTTTCGGCCAAGATCCCAACCCCATGATTGGTTGTTGCTACCAACTAGGCTCTGCAAAACAAAAAGAACGACGAACATAAGTAAATATAATGACGACATTCGTAATACCAATAGGAAAGTGCAACGTTAGCAATGAAACAAGAGAAGGCGGAAGGGAACGGGTGGCTTACCTGGTAACCAACAGAATGTAAAGGGGCTTCGGCGGTGGCTACTCCTACAACGGCGTGCGTCCCCCGCTGTCTCGTTGACCAGTGCACTTCCCACACATGGAGGCCTTTGGTGAGACCGACCTTCCCTCGGATGCAGTCTGTGCTCTGTGCGACGGGGTGTCTGTGGAATGTCAGCTTGTCGTCCTCCTGAGACAAATCAAACGCTCACTTAAGTCACGGTCCCCGAAGCCAAACGACAACACACATCCAATCAAGCCTGGCAGGCCAACTCACTTTAACAAATATATTGAGGGACCGGTCGTCCGCGTTCCAGGCATGCGTGATCTGGCATTCCCTGGTGGCGGGGGGCATGTCGAGGAGGATCTCGAGGCGCGCCGGCCGCTGAAAGTCCTGCGCCAGCTCCCGTGGGATGACGGGCTTGTAGGGCTGCGGGCTCTCCCTGGCTAGCGCCGTCTTCACACTTCCTGCAAGTCGCAGACAAAGACAACGGTCAGCAAACGGGCCAAACCACTCAGCCAGACAGAGGCAACGAAACGGGGCTTACCTGATACTTTTTGACCCATTGTCATTCCCCTGGCCCCGTGGCCACGGTGACGTCTCAGTTCAAGGTAGGACGAGGTTTTGGTCGGCAGCACCGAGTTTTTGTAGGGGTACCTCCGCAGCTCCCGGAAGTGCTCGTACGAGCCCTGGCTGCTGGCGGGGGTGGTCGTGGACGTCTGGGTAGTGGTGCTGCCCTGGCTGGCGCTGGCCAGGTACGAGGAGTAGCGCGTCGATCGGGGGACTCGGGACACCGAATTCTGGGCAGCCGCTGTCACGCTTCGCGTTTGCCTAGTATTCTTGTATCTGCAACAGGAAAAGAGAGAACTGGTTAGCATCGCGTCAATGTGGCAAGCGTCCTTCCACTTCCGCGTGGGAGTAGCGGATGAATATTTTAACCGGGACTCGCAGCGCCAGCCGCCAGGGCGGTGCGCGGTGGCACTGGTCCACGTCGCCGGCCGCCAGTGGCTGCCAGTGGCTTGCCAAACGAATCAATGAGTGGTATTTCAGCGCCTGGCCACAGACACCGTCACCACGCAGCGACCAGCAGCGACCGGAAGTTGCCTCACGCGGCCCGTGCCGGCCGTGCCAACACCGCTTTGCTTTTCGCACCACAGGCTCCGACACAGGCACTTCGACGACAGGGTTCCCGACACCTTTCGCTTCGCCGCCGCTCCAAAATTGGCGCTCCACCAGCAGAGGGCAGCACGGCCCAGCCCGACGCGGCGCGACGGCTGAGCCTCCACCAGCTTCCACGCACCGCCAACAGATGTCGCTGCCAGAGTCGGGGCCGGTCGGTAGAGCGCGGGCCTGCGGCGCGGCGCGCCAAGCCCGCCTGCCTTTGAGCCTTTGTTCCCACAGTGTACGCGCGCGCGCAGTGGTACACAGCCAGCAACGAAAAGCGAACGGCGCGCCATGAGGGTCGCCGACGAGGAACTCGATAAAATGCGGGTTCGCGGCCAACGCCCAGGCCAGACGGGCCAGCCACGGCCAGCCCAGCCCGGGCGTATGTGTCCATTCGAACACATGTCACATCGCCGCGCCGGGCCAGCGCCGGCCCGCCGGCTGGGTCCGGGACGAGTCGGGACTCCGGACGGGCATCGACCCCCACGAGTACGCCGCGACAGGCCGCGACCCACGACGCGAGGCCCACGGCGGGAGGCGTGGCGCCACCCAGCCCATTCAGTCAGTACCTGAGCGATTGCAACGGCAGTCGGCGCGCGTCGCCAGAGCGTCGCCAGGCAGATAGCCTTGAGGCGTCGTCGAGGCGTCGCGACGCTGGCTGGCTCCACAGTGCAACACGGCGACCCGACCCGCGACGCCAATGCCGAAGCACCGAAGCCGATGCGGGCCAAACGCCAATGCGACAGCGACGCGGCCAAGCCGTTCGCGGCATTCCTCACCGTCTTCCTGGAGGTCAGGCCGACTGAAAAGGCGCCGGTCCAAAGGTCACGCCGCACGCCGCGTAGCCGAACTCATCATCGGGCATCCAGCTCAAACGGCCTAGACGGCGACTTGCGGACGGCACTCCGGCAACGCCGCTGCCGCCCAGGATTTCCATCTCAGATTTGACAGCGCTACCTGCCAGGACGCCCCCACTTCCCCTTAGGCCTGAGCTTTTCTCAGTCTCTCTCTGTCTCTCCCAGGTACCTGCCCCCTGCACCCCTCCCGCGCCTCTATACAAGTTATCAGCCGGCAGGGCAGACCAATTATCGTCGACAAAAACCCCAGCCTGCCCTGCTCGGCCCAAAAGGTTCTCTTATTTCACCGTCCCTTCGTCCCTTCGACTCCCACCCTCGCTTGGAACGCGAGAAATACTACCTCCATGAACGCACAGCTGCTCCACGGGGCCCTGTTGGCCCTGCAGCCAGGTAGACGACCGGCCGCGCCACGCCACGCCGGCCGGGTCTAGCAGACAAGAGTCACAGCTGAACGCCCAAGCCAACCGACAAGCTGTCTAAACCTCCTCGTGCAGGGGGATTCTGCGGGGGCGGAAAGGAAAAGCCAGCAGGGTCGACAAGGCGGGCAAGGCCCCAGCGTCCCTGCGACGCCTGGTGCAGCCATGGTGCAGCCCGCACGCTCATTCCGGAGAGTCGTTTCGTCTCTGTCGCACTCACGGGGCGGCCCGTCTGGGAGCGAGAGAGACAGCGACAAAACGTTTCTTCGGAAAGGAATCACTTGGCTGTGGCTGGCGAGGGCCGGCAGTCGGGCCGTCGGGCCCCAGGCGGCCGTGCTGCCGTGCTGCACTGCGCCAGGGCGTGCCACGCCGTGCCACGCCGTGCCACGCCGTGCCAGGCCCAGCAGGGCTCAGGACAAAGGAAGGCCAAGAAGGGCCCGTCCAGCGAGGGCCGTGCCGACCAGTACGCCGACCCTGCTTCAAATGCACACGCCAGGCCACGGCGCCGCCGAGACGTGGACGTCGGACTCCAGCGCGTTGCGCGTTGCACACGCGGCCCTGACCGCGACCCACTCGGCCCCCGCCATGGCCCCCGCCCCGCGCGGATCCCACACGGTACACACAATATGATACGTGCGGCGGGACTGCGCGACGATAGGCAGCCGTTTCGCGATAAAGTCATGACGCGGGGCGTGGCGGCGCGGGGCCTTCGCCGAGCGTGAGAACGGTGACGGTGCACGCGCCGAGGAGTCCCCCGTGCTGGAGTGCAGCCGTCTGGCGCGCCGCCGCGCCGCCGCGCATGGCCAGGGCGCCGGGCCTGGGGGCCTGGGGGCGACCGGGACGACCGCCACGGTGCGGCAGGACAGGGTGTGATAACCGTGGCGCTAAGCGAACTAACGAACTAAGAGATAGCTGGAGATAGCGGCGGCGAACACGCACTCCGCGACCAGGCGCAGGCCGCAGCGCACAGCAGGGAGCGGGGCCGACACGGAAAAGCTCTCCTCGCTACCTGGCCGACGACAAGCCCGGCCTGCCCGGCCCCACACAAAAGCCGCAGCACTCGCAGGAAAGTCTTTGAAAAGCAGGGGGCGGCAACACCGGGCCTCCATTTCGCAAAAGAGGAGGAAAGACGGGGGCACTTTGCGAAACTGCTACACTGCCAGGAAGGTCAGGCAGTGCGCGTACAGTGTACTGCACTCCCAAGACAACAGCTCAGTCAATTCCAGGGAAGCCCCAAGCCAAGCCATTCCTCTGGCTGGCCTGGCAGCCAGGCAGCCTGGCACGCGTGTCTGTGCCGCCCGGGTTCAACACCCCTCGAGTCCTCGACGCGCTCCAGTTGCACTGACCTCACTTCCGGTGTCAAATGGAGAGCGTATCCGAATCACACGCCAGGCCATCGGCAGCCATCGGCCCACCAAGACAGAGACAGACGCTCCCACCCCTCGGCAGTCGGCAGACCTTCGCTCCGCGGTACCGACCGCCCCAAGCGCCCCTCGGCGCAGAGCCGCAGAGCGCTACGCCTCCCTCGTCGTTCAGCACGTCCCGGGCGTGCTGGGCTCTAACCCAAACACGGCCCGGGCACGAAGCAAAAGCAAAACCCGAATCCCCTCGGCAGAGAGGCAGACCCGTCCCGCCGCCGCGGCCGCGAGCAGGCCGAGCTCGTCTCGAGCTCAGCCGGAACCGGCGGCGGGCTGGTTGGCCCTCCAGGCCGCGCAGCCGCGCCGAGCCGAGCCAGACGGGCAGACGAGGCAGGCAGCCGGGAAGGAGGGCCATAGAAGAAGAATACCTCTGGGAAGGCACAAAGCCGCGCGCGGTGCGCGGTACAGTCCGGACAAAGAGTGTACAGTCGTGACAGGCAGCGCGGCACGCGCGTACAGGCCGGCCCAAAAGGCCAGGCCGAGGGCCGCGGCATTCCCATGGCACTTGCACCCCGGTAATGGGAATAGGGTTGCCGGCTACCGGGGGACACTCCACCTGCCACCGGGCCGCCAACAAACACCGTCAAGGATACCGACGGCGGCCTCGGCGGAGACGGAAGGGAAGGGCAGGAGCAGCACCGCGGCAGCACCGCGGCGGCACCGCGGCGGTAGGCCAGGTAAAAGGAAGGCCGCCGTCTCCAAGACGGCGGTGACGTCCAGGACCTGGGCCAGAGGAGGACGGAGGGGTGCGCGCGGAGTCGCCGCCGAAACCAGTCAGCGCGACCGCTGCGACTCGAGACTCGAAGTGCCTGGCCAGCAAATCCACGACCACGACCGCCACCGCCATTTCGCACGGTGCGGCCAGCGGGCGAAGGAGGACCCCACGCCCCACGGTGGAGGGCCCCGCGGCGGTGCCATCAATCAACCGCAAGGACGCGACGAGGTTCTAGAAAGCCCCAAATTCGCTTTGCATGGCTTGCAGAGCGACGCCGCGATAGTGGCAAGCAAAGGGGCGACAGGGAGGTGTGACCGGGCCGAGCCCAGTCCGTCAGGGAAAGGTCGCCGAGTTGAGTTGGGCCCGGCACCGGGCGCCACCACTTGCGTGCGCCGAGCCGCGTTTAGCTCGAGCGCGGCGGCCCGGCAAAAAGGCCCAGAGGCAGGAGGCAGGCCCGACCGTGTCCGGCTGCGGCTCCGCGTCCGCCGAGTTAGTCCACGGCCAGACAGGTCCGTGGCCATGGATAGCCATCCTAATGACACTGGGCGTGCGAGTGCGTGCCTAGAAAGCGACGCATGCAAAGGTTGGGAGAGGGGGGAGGGGAGGGGGAATCAAGAAACTAACCCTGGCCTTCGCGGTTGTGCCGTGACCCGGCGAGAAAATGCACTTGGTGTGCCTAGTTACGTAAGGCTAGGTGAGGCGGCGCGCGATACAGCCCCCCCCCCTCCCCTTCCTTTTCCTTGGTTCGCGCGCGCACACGTTCCGCGTGAGCCAACCGAACCGCGCGCGTCAGAAGCGTCGCCACAACGGCTGGTTCCGAGAGAAGTTTTCGTCGCTCTGTCTAACTCGCACCCATACAGGACGCCCCATGAGTGCGAGAGAGACAGAGTGACGAAAAGGTCTCTCAGAATCCGTCTGCTGGCCCAAGGAAACAAACCAGATGGGACTGGCAACCTTGCGCAACACGCCGCGAGAACAAAGGCCCGCGGGGCCCCGCCATGCCCCGAGGGGGTTGAGGCGACGGGGGCGTTCATCCCTCCAGGACCGCCAAGACAGCCGGGCCGCCGGCCGCGCGGCCACGCGGTCCGGGATTGAAGCAAACGGCCGCCTCGTCCGGCCGGCCGTAACGAGGACTAACTTGGCGGCAAAGCGTCCTGGCTGCGCCTGGCACGGCTTCGCCTGACTTCGCCTTGGCGGTCCGGGCGGCCAGCCGGGCACTGGGCACGGCCGCCCAGCACACTGATTACGCGGCCCGCCAGCGCGCCAGCCCATGGCC